AGGTATGTGCCCTCAGCCCCATCCTCTACACCCTGTTCACCCACGACTGTGTCGCCTTCCACAAAGACAACATCATCTTAACCCTCCTGTTATGTTGCGGGTCAAATTGACCCACGAACATAACTGCTTTAAATGAGACAAATATTTGATATGAAGAAATGAACATAACAGGACCTGTTATGTTCATTTCTTCATATAAAACTTGACCCGCAACATAACAGGAGGGTTAAAGTTCACGGACGACATCGCAGTGATAGGTCGCATCACTGGTGGGGATGAAGCAGCCTACAGGAGGGAGCCGGCCGGTCTGGTGTCATGGTGCAAGGACAATAATCTCAGCCTCAACACGGAAGAGACGAAGGAGATGATAGCGGGCATGAGGAAGGAGAGGAGATCAGCCACTGTTCATCCGGGGGCTTGAAGTGGATAGGGTGAGCAGCTTCAAATACTTGGGCGTCCACATCAGTGAGGACCTCACTTGGACACTTAACACCACACAGCTGGTCAAGAAGGCCCAACGGCGGCTGTACTTCCTGAGGAGGCTGAGGAGGTTTGGCATGTCGTCTAGGATCCTTTGCAACTTCTACAGCTGCATCATTGAGAGCATCTTGACCAGCTGCATCACTGTCTGGTATGGCAGCACTACTGCTATGGACCGCAAGCGCCTGCAGAGAGTGGTAAAGACTGCAGAGAAGATCACCAGGACTCCACTGCCCTCTCTGCAGAGCATTTACCACCGCAGGGCGTGTAGGAAGGCTGCCTCCATCCTCAAAGACCCCACCCACCCCCAGCACGGACTGTTCACCTCCCTACCCTCTGTCTGGAGGCTCAGAAGTGTGAAATGCAGGACCTCTAGACTGAAAAACTCTTTCTTTCCCTCTGCCATCAGACTCCTAAACAGCTGAGGAGTTTACTACCAGGAAATAGGTGATGTACCGTTGACCTGTACTGTTTACATTCTCAGTTTGCACATGCATAATTGAACAGTGATTGTTGACTGCTGCACATACTGCTCCCATGCAGCATCCATTCTTTTATTATACTCATATATTTTTATTATATCTCTGTACAATGAAATTCTTACTTTGCCGTCCACATGAATGCCACAAAATACAAATGAAATATTAAGTAGATAAATAAGTAACACAAAATCTAAAGCACTTTAAGCAGCAAATGCAGCAATATAATAAAAAATATATAAAAACGAAAGAAATATACAAGAATGACTGCCATCAAACTCCTAAACAGCTGACTCAGGATCTACCTCATGTAATTCCACCTGTACTGTTTACACACTCAGTTTGCACATGCATAACTGCACACTTTCTTTGCAACAAAGAAACTGTTTCTTGTTGCAAAAACTCAGACTATTTGCACACACAGCTCCCATGTAGTAGCATACATTCCCTCTTCATTATATTGTATTCTTCATTATGCTTACTTCATTGGCTGTTGTATTTTCATTATGCTTCTCTCATTGGCTGTTTTACAGTGCCTTGGATTTTTGAGATTTAGATTTTGTGTTGCCTATGTATCTGCGTTATATTTCACTTATACTGTGTGGCATTGGTGTGGACAGGGAAGAAAGAATTTCATTGTACATTTCCTGACTGTGCACAAGACAATAAACACTTGACCAATGACCAAATAGAACCATACCTCTAAGGGGGGGTGGCCCCTGTATTTTCAGCCAATGGCATTTAAGCTCCAAGGAACCCGGTGGCTTTCTATAAACATCTGCATCGAGATAGGCTAATTAAATAGCACTACCCCTCTGATTATGATTATTATGACACCCATATGTCAGAGCGCTGATGCACTTTAAACTTCAAGCGGTGGTAACCAGCTGGTTTGGCATATGTGCGTCCGGTTTGTTTGCCATGTCCCTTAAAATCTCCCGAGACAGTTCCGAAGGGAGATGAGATAGTTAGGTACAGTTAAAGCATGTATTTACCTCGCTGTGCCACATACACCACCCCAGCATACTGGTCGACAGCTACTCCAAAGACCTCCCCGGTGAAGAGCTCTGGACTCTTGGGCCAGCTCAGGTCCAGTTTGTAAAGGGGTCTGCCCAGCAGCTGGTAGTCATGCCTGAGGCTGGAGCTGCCTGGCTGCTGGGTGCCAATGGCGCCGTATAACAACATCATGAGTAAGATTAACGACATCATACTGGCAGCTATCAAACACACCTGACCTCTCTTTTTCATCAACATCGGTGTTTTTTAAGTTGACTAAATATGCCTTCTAACGCCAATGGAGAGAATACTAAAAAGGTGTGCCCCGTTAAGTAAATCCCTTAATGTAACGCTGTTAAAATAGAAATCCGGTGCTTTATATAGCCTATAATATATAAACCGTCACTCTCTCTAAACGCTGAATTCGAGTCCTAAAGGAAAACAAAAAGGCGTAACAAATGAGGCGCAATAAAAAGTATTTCCGTTCAAGTGTCAAAATGAAAGCATTAATAAAACACAGAAAGCATGACCTGTGCGCTACTGGTCAGGTTACGGGCCAGCCAGAGCTAGGCTCAACGTGTTCGAGATCTGTTCGGGCAAATCCGACATATGCCTATTTGTATATTCCATGGACTTTTGTAACGATTTCAACTCTCAAATTTTATTTTATTTTATTTTATTTTTACTTCCGGTAGCTTGACGCGACAAAACATCTGACAAAAGGTAGCTACTAGGAAGCGGATGTGACATCACGACGTGTTGACGCAGCTCTGGCTGTGGAGGCGACTATGCTTTCCTGACGGTAATTTTGTTAGTTATTTTTTCAGGATTTTTAAATTGCAGTGTGAATGACAGTCCGCGAAGGACAGAGACATCTTTCATGTAGTGTAAACTATCGAAGAATCGACTCCATGGAGGTGGTAGACAGCCCGCTTAACCTCGTAAGTTTCGGTCTTGATGTTGCAATAACAGGCTAACGTTGCTGTAGCTAGGAGAGCGCATAGGCAAGCTACATTAGCTAACTCCCGTAGTAAGTTAGCAGCTAACCGTTCTGTTATTTGCTCTGTTAGTGTTATTGTCAGATGTGTAGTATACATTTTGGTTTTGTACTCGATAAGATCAACATGGAGACCTCTCGTTTGTAGTTGAAGCAGTATTGTTAGTTTTTATTATTCTATCTGTTTAATATTGGAAATTATTATTAACAACAAGGGACTTAGGTATAACTAGTTAACTTGTTTGCAAGTTCATGTGACAATAACCCACTGTCAGCAAGTAATTTCAGGATGTCATTTAACTGTTATGGCTACACTGTTCCCACCCTGTACCACAGCGAGTAACAATGAAACAAAATGAGTCCTCGATGTTATTTGAGCTCTAAAATGTTCTGTTTTTGTCTATTGAGGACATTGACAATGGCGTTCTCTTTAAGAGCAGTTGTTTTGATTTACAGTTTTGTAGTGACCATTTTAATTGACGAGGACATTTAGAATTATTTGGAAAAACCTCGATAGATGGGAGAGATGTGAAATAAAGACAAACTGTGTATTAAAAGTAAGTGTGTTTAAAAAAATATAAAGCCTACTTCATGAGCCTCCAGAACAGCTTCAGTGCTCTTTGTCATAGATTCTTCAAGTGTGTGTTGGAGTCTTCCACAAGACATTTTCTCATTTAGTGTTTTGTTGCTAGTGATGGATAGCCCCAGTTTGTGTCTCTCATGTAATTGCATTCCCTAATCCAAACAATAATTGTAGCTATAAATGACACCCTCTTGCCCAATTTGTGAGATATTTTCAAAGAAAGGAGCATCTTTTTATTACCTTAGCCAAGAGTTGGGTACTGCTTTTGCTGGCATTTGTTGGTTTGTTTCTTTACAGCATAACTCAAAAAGTAATGAATGACCAGTTCGTTGTTTTTAGTCATGTGACTGGCACAGAGCCCAGGGGGGCAAAACAGTCTTTCCAACATAGCAGCTAACACTGGGCACTCAATACACCTACAGCACAGGCCTGTTAATTTATAGTTATGGTCTATTCAACAGATTGTGTCTAGGAACGAAGGGATCCAAGGCATACCTAACAGCATTTCTTTTTATCTTTATGTCCAAATTTCAGTGCCTGTCTTCTAAATCTACTCCTCCGAGAGAGAGAGCAAGCAGTGGTGGTCAGGCAAGCTAGTGTGTGAAGCTAGGCTGTGGGGCTAGCAAAACAAAGTAGTGACTCAGAAATAAAATATTATCTTCTGATTGTTTCTAGGGCTGGACCCAATTATTCAACTCTTTGGCTATTCACTCATTGGGCAGGAAATCAGTTTTTAATTTTAGTATTGGAATATTAGAGGCAGCAAGAACTTTCATTGCAGTCTGATGGTGAAGAGTAAAGAGAACACAATGGAGGCAGCTTGGCCTGTCAGCTGGTAGGTTACTCACATATCTGAAAACACTGGAGCAGATCTCCAGTAAATCATCCAATCAATAAATCATAAGCAAAACTTTGTAAAAACACAAACAATGCCTCTTTATTGCAGTATGGCAGACAATGAGCAGCAACCTAAACCTAAGACACCTAAGACTCCTTTTTTTTCCAAACTAAGCATTGTGGTATAACCAACAGGGGACCAGTGCTACGTAGAATGATTTTGGTGATACTAGACTACCCTAAGTGTGAATGTTTTTGTAGTATCTCTTCTCAGTGTTGCACTTTGTAGATGTTCTCTGTGCCCTCATGTTGTTTGTTGGATTTCTGAAAGCAGCCCTGCGGACCACAACATAAAAGGGCCTTATGTCTGAATGACAGAAAGCCATCTGTTTCACAGACTGATGAAGTAGCAGCGTTACGTATCTCACATCTGAAAAGGGCTGTACTGTGAAAACACGTGTCACAGTGCGAGCTTAGCCAAGAATGGAGACACAAGGGTTTAGTCGTGTTCATTGTGATCTGCTTTTAGAGAAAAGACTGTTCTGATGGTGTGGCTTGTTATGCATAGTCTATGTTATGTGAGCCCGGTTTGTATATCCGTCTCTGTTAAAGTGCACTGCACAGCCGTTTTGTGGACATGCATCCATTTGAACGCCAAGTGGGATCTGATGGGTTTTTCTCTAAAAAACTGTAAGCTATAGACCTTACTATGTAAATTGCTTTGAGATGATTTTTGTTGTGATTTGGCATTATAAAATAAGATTGATTTCAATTGATTTATCTCCATTCCTCCTTGTTCCCTCCATCCCTCCTGTCTCTTCCATCCATGTGCTCTTCAGGCTCATCAGCAGTGCAGGAAGGCAGACCGTTTGTTAGCGAGTGGAAAGTATGAAGAGGCCATCGTCTGCCATGGAAAAGCAGCAGGTGAGTTATGTGACATTGACATTGTTTCTTTGACACTCCACCAACCTTTGAATATAGCTGGGAGGTGCATGACAGCCGAAAGGACACCAATGTGGGCCAAGTGTTGTGACATCATATTTGGCACATGCCCCTTGGCGCACAAGCAAGAACGGAGAATATAAACTCTGTGTTAGCCTTGAAAAACTGCTCAATTCTCTGTCTCTCACACCCAGGTCATTTGACAGACGCAATGAAGGCAACAGAGTGCGAACAGGTGAGGTGTGTGTGTGTGTGTGTGTGGGAGGCCTGGTGTTACTCATGGTGGGGATTTAAATCTGTTTACTTAGTCACACTGTGGGGACATGACATCCTTATGGTGACAGAAACAAGTCCCCAAAATGCAATTAATTACATTTTAGAGTGATGAATTAGTTTGAGGTTAGGCAAATAGTGATTAGGGTTAGGGTAAAGCTTGATTCATGGTTCTGCGATGAATCTAGGCCATACCTACAGCGCAAGTCATTTGTAGCCTCATAGCACTAAGCATAGCCTAGTGTGCTCCTCTCCAGAAATGTAACTGCACATCGCAGCGATGCAAACCACAACAGCGGTGATTGTTTGCATTGCATTTCCTTTTTCATGTTTCTTAATGGCCAGACAAGTACGGAAACTCCCCCTCATTCTGCCACAGTTGGTTCAGTGGTCATTTGGTCAGTTTCAGTCACCACTGTTAGTAAGTGGTGAAGAAAGGCAACACAGTGGCATAGAAACCCCAGTGCCAACTAGCATTCTGGCAGTGGAATTGCAGATCAATGCAAACACCAGCTCACAAGTATAAATGCTTACAGTGACATAGGCCACTTGCATAGCCTACGGTGTAGGCTCTGTGTAGATTCAGTGCAGAGCCATAAATCAAGCTGAAGTCTCAAGGAATCTGATGCAAGTCAGTGTAATGTTAATATTGTGAGTGCTGTGGTATTGATACTTGTGTCTGTAGGCTCGTCTGTCCATGGAGCTACAGAGGGACAGTCATTTCAAACAGCAGAGACTAATCCAAGAGCGCTGGAAAAGAGAAGCTCGTCGTGAGGCAACAAAAGCCCAACCAGGCTCAGTGCAGTGCAGTCCTCCAGTGACCCAGCCCTCTGTACCCAAATCCAGTTCACAGCTCCAGGCCCACAGCTCCCCAGGCCTCTCAACTACAGAGTGTGGAGGAGTCAGTGAGAGAGAGTATGACACCTTACTCTACCAGCTTCAGACTCGGCAGACTGGAGGCTGCCAGCCTTTGACTCCACCATGCCCTGGATCTAAGACCACCAAAGATGACAAAACCCGCCTGGAAGAACAGCAGACCACCATTGAGGACCTGCGGCGCCTGGTCAACCACCTGATGGATGAAAATCAGCGACTCCAGTCTGAGAATGAGCGACTGCGAGTGGAAAATGCCCGGCTGCACTCGGAAGCGGCCGAAGCAGCAGACTTTGTGGAGCGTTCTGAGCTCTGGGTACTCCCACAAACAGCTGGTGCTATGGGAACAGGGGCTGGGCAGGAGAGGAAAAGCATGGGGAAGGGGATTGCAATCCCCCAGTTGCCACCACTGGAGATGCCAGCTCAGGAAGACCTGTGTCTGGATGACCTGCCTCCTCTGGAGCTACCAGAGGACATCCAGAATGAACTACAGGAGCTAGAGCTAATGGACAGGGATAAACTGTGATAAGACAGATGTCTCTCACACACGCAACCAATGTGACTTCTGAGTATAGATTCCAAAATATTTGACACCCACAGGCAGTCTGATCAGACCCCTGCTCAGGCTTAAGGAAATTCCAGGAGCTCACCAAATCTCTGCAGTAATAAGAAAGCTAAAGGTGGAAGTTGTCCAGTCCTGATCAGTGCAACTAACCGAGGAAAGGAGCTGTCAGCTAATCTTCTACAGTAATGAAAAGAGGTACAATTCAGCACATTAAAGGATAATACTTGTGTCACTAATACAACACAGACTAAGTCAAAGATAAAGGAATTGTTCACCCAGAAATAATGTCTTCTGGAATATCGGTGAGGTCATCAGCATGTCAGTATGGCATACACTGCGCTCTGCATTAGCTTCAGGAAAATAACTCAGTAACTCACTTCCCAACTTTTCTTTCTGGAACTTCAAACTACATCTTGCCCATCCTCCTCTGTATTATATCACCATCTGTATTTGGGTCATTTGTTGACAGCTGGGGTCTTTCCATGACAACTGAGCAAAGACTGTGAGATGAAGTTTAAAAGGTGAATGCTATTTGAGTATTTCATTGTGGAATATGTGGATTTATCATGTAGTCTTCATGGTGTATGGAAAAAGACAACATAAGCAGCATAATGTAAGTGTTCTGAAGCTAAATGATGAGCGCTTTGTGTTAAAGGTCAAATAGTTAATGTTTTTGCATTCTTCCAGTGTCAGTAAAGTAATAATATGATCATGCTTAAATGTTGCTGGAAGTATTGATTTAAGCAAAAAGGTGTGTGTTTGCTTCTCTCTCTGTGTGTGTGTGTGTGTGTGTGAGTGTGAGATCTGAGTGATAAAGGTGGTAAAGAAGAGCTCATCACCTTCAGTATCACTGTAGGTTAACCAGTCAGTCGCTGTTGAGACTTACTAGTAGACTTACAAGTTGGGACTGTTTAATTTAGTAAATATTAAATAAGCAACAGCATTACATTGGTTTTTTGGTATAATGCTGGTGAAGTTTTGGTAGTTTTTGTGATTTGGTGTTACCTTTTTTTTAACTTGTGCAGCAGAACCTGGGAGTTCAGTTTTCTTTTGTCTTTGCATAGGAGAAGAGGAAATAAAACAAGCATTAATGTGTAGTGTTGAAGGACAGTTGTCTGGAAGTCTATAGAATGACAATTTGACCTATTTCTGTCTTTAAATATTTTCTTTAGCTACATTTGCCTGACATGAATGTGTCTAGTTTCTACATTGGCATTCTTAGTGTCCTGGAATCATGCTGTGGACTTTTGGCTGTGCAGCAAATGATTGTGGTTTCAGAACACTTAATGCTGCGCCAGCATACTAATGGTCAAGGTTACTGTTTGTGCTGTGGTGCTTTATCAACATGTTCCCACTACCCTCAGTTGTCATGGAGATTCCTAGAATGACGCAGCACCATCACATTCGCTGTGTGTTAGGCCCGAAACATACTTCATGCAAGTATCCAGATGCTTTGAGATGCACAAGATTGATATAACATGTTGTTGCCTTATTGCGTGTGACACAAACACAGGTTACAGTCTGAGCATTGCCTCCTAACGGACAGCGCAGCATGAAAGAAGAAAGCCAATTCCTAGTGTTTGGGATAACTTCAGTTCAAAACAACGGTGACTGACCAGTTCAGCGAAGCTCTTGCTGAACACATCCATATGCATAGGCATACTTGTTATACTTTGTCACCTCTTCATTCAGACAGGAATGCTGGTGAAATGCTCTGGCCAAAATTGTAACTGCTCTAAACCACATTCCTCCAGGGTTGCCATTTTTGTTTGCTGCTTCATCTGGCAGATATTGCCCCCATGTGGCATGAGCTTGATCACTTCCACCAGTTGTTATAGCTACGTTCACATTGCAGGCCTCAGTGCTCACTTCTGCTCTTTTTGTCAGATCCAATAGTTCACATTCATGTTAAGTGACATGTATCCAGCTCTGATTACAAGCAAAACAACATCTTCTGTACACTGGTCACATTTTTAATTTCCTCACAAAGTGTTTGGTCAGAAGCTTCTCCATAAACATTCAACGAAAGTGAAACTCCACGTTTAGCTTTAACTGGTCTGTGAGAGGCTGACAGAGAATGGTGACAAGCGATATGTGCAGACAAGGAAGACGTTAAATAAAATGCAGAAATTCCGATCCAGCTGTTCTGACATTGGTCACATAGTCAGAGATCGGATACGTATCGGATCTAGGACCACATATGGAAGCGGCCCAGGTCTGATTTGGTTTCTTCACACATCCATGAAAAGATTAGATTTTCACTCAGGTGGAGAGAAGTTGGATTTGAGTCACTTTGGCAGGTAATGTGAATGTTGTTTGTGTTCACTGGCGACATGTTCTAGCCTAGGTGATGTCATTCATGTTCATGCACCTGCGTGGAGGTTGTTTTGGGCCTTGCACTGACAAACTTGCATGTGGGTGAGTAGGTGATGACTAGATGTTGAATTTGTGAATCAAGACCATCACCAGAAGTAGTCAGTACTAATTTCACCACCTGTTCACACTGTCATAGAGATTTTGGTCCAGCCCTACCCTGCTCTGCACACAGATCAGGATCATCTATGTGATTTAGTCACAGGAAAGTATATTGCTGTTGGTGAAAATTACATTAGTGCATTTTGAGTTTAAATTAAAAAGCCTATACTGTTTGTTTGTTTTTTATTTTATTTTATGAGCAGATATATGAACAGATATGGCTGCCAGTGAGAGATTTCTCATATTCTGGTTTTATGCAACAACAGCAATATTCAAGAGAGGCACCTTTCTCTACACATTCAGACTAAAGACGAACTAAAACCTGAGGTTAATGGGAATGGAGGCTGAAGAACACACAGGTGACAGAGCCTTGTAAACCAAACGTCTGGTTCACACTGCAAGCAACTAGGTTGATGACTTGTATTCTAAAATGGTTTGTATATATTAGCCTATTTACCATCAATGATCTGTTTCTGTACCAATTGATTATCTGTCCTCTTCTGCCGACGCTTCCCAAAAGCCTAGTTAGACGTTTTAGCTGAAACAATTTATTTCTGAAAAGAATAGTCACAGTCCTACATGCTGAGTCACATAATACATCACATCATGTGGCAGTGCAGTTGTAGGAGCATATTGATTGGCACTGCTTTACCATGTGGTGGTGATGTGTTAGGCAAAGTTCATTTTCATACCTTATGACAATAACAAATGGTTAAATAGAATCGAAGAGAAACATTCAGAAATCTAAAGCACTGTGAGATGTTGGAAGCTACTCAACAAGAAATGAAGTTAAATGGACTAAAACATGCACCAAGACTGTGATTGTACTGTTAAAGCTGCATTAATCAATTTGTGGTCACCAGGGAACAGAAAGGCTCTAAAAGGTTGATGGAAACAGCCTGGATATACTGAAGTTTAACGCAGGTTGCCCGTTTACACATTCAGCAAATGCATGTTTTCACTTTTGTGGGGCAGCTGTGGTGAGGAGGTAAGTGGACTTGTATGGCGCTCCTCTCTTCAAGCATTTTCAGAGCCCTTTCACATTATTTGCCCATTTGCACTCAAACACATACCGGTGTACAGCCACCAGGAGCAGCTTGGTGTTTACTTCAACATGGAGAAGCCAGGAATCGAGCTCAACAACTGACCCACTCTGTCTTTTGAGCCGGTAGAGGTAGAGTAGGTTAACGCCTAACTGCAGAGTTGGTGGTTCGGTTCCTGTCGTCCTTGTAAAATATAGGTTCAATTAAAAAAAATAGTAAAGTACACTGATTTGATGCTCTACAAAATAATTTTTCTTCAGGCTAAGCTGGCACACCAATAAAATTATTTAGTGGAGCATCAAATCATTGTGCAGGCTACAGTCTTTTTATGCTACTAATAATACCCTTTGTTCTACTCAGCTGATGCAAAGATGTTTTTGGGGAGGTGCATGCACTTTTCTTAACATATTAAAAAAATCTTGATGAATGCAGCTTTGACAAAACTAAAGATGGATTAATCAGTGTATGGTCCAAGGAAGACACGATTGGTGGTTGTCGAAAGAAAGAAAAGGACTTGAGGAAGCTAGTTTGAGTGTGTTGCTTGCAGTTTGAAAGCATGTGGTATGTGCATGCACACATTAGTACACACACTGAGGCATTTATACAAACTCAAGAACACATATTCCCTTACTGGAACAATAATGTAGAGCGGGGTGCAACCAGGGCAGTTATGCTGCATTCACGACCTATGCAAAATATGATGGACAATAAAACACTCATCAGGTTTACCTTAGCTTTCTGCTGTTAAATACTAAAATAGATGTTGCTTAATGTCAGCAATTATACGTAACCTAATGCTGACAGTAATGTCTTGCTGCATGTTTGATTTGTTATTGATATGTTTGATTTGCTTTAAAATACTGAACATGCATAGTCATAATGTGAGAGAAAGTAAATGTATAGCGAATGGGCTCCATACAAATCTACATTCATGTGCTCTTGAATTTAAATGAATGAATAACTGATGTGTTGATGATCATTTTCATAGGACATGAATGCAGCATTACAATGAAGACAGAGGCACCTCATACAGCTAAGGAAGTCACTTTTCACTTGTAATCAAAGTAGAAAATGAACAATCAAACTGCCGGCTGGCCGGCTAGCATCTGTCACAGTAGCCAGAACTGTTTCAACAACTCTGTACCTTCTCAGCAAACCCAGCCTGTGCCTTGGACACCTTTCTGTATTGTGGTGGCAGTCTCGTCTCTCGACCTTAACCCTGTAAAGCCTGAAACATCCAAAAATAGCCAGAACACTCTGATTTTTTGGAACTGAGATGTTTATTAAACCTTTTAACAAAATCCAGAAGAAGATTGGAGATTTTTATTTGCCATTTATGCATAGACAGTCCAGGCATATAGGAATAAATGTGCCATATTATTTTGTTTGTTTATTTATTTTTTGTTGTTGTTTTGTATCACATTGGATAAATGGGACATTTTTGGCAACTTTTTTTTGCTCAGAAACTCATGTAGTAAATATGATACAAATGGTTTTGTAGGGTTAAGATGGATGGAAGCAGTTTTCTTCTGCCTTGTGTAGAAGATAATTATCCAAACCATCCATCTGACAAAACAGTCTAACTGAAAAGAGCACTTCCAAAATGATCTCAGCTCTCCAAAGTGCTTTTCTTCTCTGGTTTTTAACAAAAGCCTACATCTGTATCTACTGTAGCCTGCTGGAAGTATGCTGTGCCGTGCCGTGATCATGTATTTCCGCTGCGACCTCACACCATGCTTACCATTACCTCGTGGTCCTGCTTGGTAACTGGTAAGAGAACTGACCAGGGTCAGCCTGATGATGGTACCCCTCTCAAACCTAAGTTGTTTTCTGCTCTTACATTGTTGTGGTTGCTCATGGCTTGGCTCGCCGTGATTAACCTGGCCCCTGCTGAAAAAGCTCAAAAGTATTGTATAGCCTTGTAATACAAACTTACTCTCAGCCAACGGTGTGTGGACAGAATTATCTTACTAAAAATGTCATTTTTAGTATTACAAAGCTCCTCAAAACAGAATTTTGACCATGAGATGGTGAGGGTGGAGTTGAGATCATTTTAGAGCTGAACATAAGGAAAGGGTCTGATTCTCTCTCCTTAAACCCAGTCTCTCTCTCTCTCTCTCTCTCTCTTCAGATAAAGACTTGTTCAATGTCTTTATTGATATGTGTGTTGTTATGTGATATGTGAGTTGGAGTAATAAGACTGATGTGTTCTTGTTCTGCCACCTGAAAGGTGTGGATTGACATGGTGGTTTGAAGGCCAGTTCAAATACCTTTACCTCCCTACTGTAATCATTATATGTTTAGACTTATAGGTAATATTTCATGCTGGTATCCATTGGCATCTTAAAGAAGAATAAAACATTTAATTTAACAAGTACTCAGTGTTTTCCTCAAGATTTTCAGTAGGGCTGGGTATGGCTTTTATTCTTTATTGTTTTATACCAGTACCCCTACATTGCCCGGGTTTGGGTTGAACAACACCCAATACTGTTTCTTGTTTATGAGGGTACGACAAAAGCACGGTGAAGAAACAAGTGCTAACAAGTTTGGTTGGTTGCAGGAAAATTGCTAAACAGGTGCTGATTGAAAAAAAGATAAACTTGTGCCTGAGAAAATTTGCATAAAACTGCATTTGGACTGATGCAAAAAAAATAGAGCCCACAGAGACAAAATAGAATTTCATTTCCTACATGTTTGTTCCTGATGAGCATTGTAAACTAGACACAGGTGTAATGTTAGATTCATCTGCCTGGGAGGTCGCTGCTGGGTCGTCTGTTAATCCTGGGGTATTAATAAACTATACCTGTACGGCAACTGTAGAGGTTCATAAAGATCAAATGTCAAAAGGTAAAACTGGATAGTGACAGAGGACCCCTCTTTCAGATGACCTCAAGAGTTAGGTATGTTTTCAACAAAACTGCATTTAACCATATAACCACAAACTAACTGCCACATGGTGATAGCAGCAGCAGCAGCAGCAGAGGAGGAGCCCTATAGGCTCTGCTGAGAAGCTCCACTCACTTTATGATGTCACACAGATGTCAGATGCGTCCTAGTTGAAGAGACTTAAATGACCCAAGGTCAGTTTCAAGCATTTCTGTTCTGTTTATTTTGATGAGGAACCAGACCTTATGTGTATAATCATTTTTCATGTAATGTTTAAATGCTAATTCACTGAGTTTCTTTTGTATTTTGCTATATGATGAACAAAGGCGATAGTAATGAATCTGTTTTTCTCTGATGATGATGATGATGCATGGTGGATCATAATAAATATAAAAGGAAACTCCACTCCAAGGTACCTTTGTGACAGATCTTCATCACAAAACATTTATGAAGCAGACTCTGGTAATATGGAGACCCATGTGAACTATAGAAAGTCTGGTATTAAATAAATAAACATAAAGGGAACACAACATAGTTGAATGTCTTATTTTTGTGTTCCCTTTATTTTTTTGAGCTGTGTATATAAATGAAATGTTAATTTGCAAAATATTTTAGCTAAACAAGGCTGGCTAGCTAAACTAACTTCCTGGCTAACTAGTGAGGTGGGGTTGTAAGCTTGGTTTATTTCTCTGTATTCAAAGTCAACAGGTTTTACAATAGCAGCTATCATTAGCTGGTTAATTCTGCTGCATTTCAATTCCAAAGAAAGACAACTCTGTGACTTCTTTCTCAGTGGTTGCTCAAGCCAAAGGAAACAAGTTAACACTGATTAGACAGACGCTTCGCTTTAATGCTGAGTAATAATCAGACGCCAGACTATTGGTACGTAGCATAAATGGCCTTGTTAAGATAAGGCCTAAACGTTGTGTTTTTGTTACTCAATCACAATCACATCTTGAGAATAATACAACAGACTCAACTCTATTTGTTGCCCTTACTGTAATCAGACAGCTTTTATTTCATTGCATTTGCAATCCAAACAAACCCCAGACATACCACTGGGGCTACTAGACAAAACTTTGGTATCATTAGTCAGTTATGAGCATTAATGGACACCATGACATGAGCAAGCTTGGCTTATTGTTGCACCTCAGTCCAAACAGGGTTATGGCTTCCTGTCCATGAGCCTGTTTGGAGCACTGTTGAACCCACTCTGTTACCCACAAGGTCTTACAGAGAACACAATGATTAAGACTTGTACTGACCATAATACTATATCTTTGAATGTATGAAAGAGTCAGTTCAGAGGCTACCCTAGAGATATAGATAAGTGACAAGTGAAAAAAGAAAGATCAGTCACTTTTTCAACAAATATAGTCACATTTCTGCTTGAATTACAGGTCTGAATTCATTTGAAGTACTTCATGTGACAACATATTGTGTTATAACCAGTGAGCGATGGCCTTTTTATGAGCTGTGTTGCTGCACTGGCTTGTGCTGGGTTTTACCTTGGTTATAGCAAGTGAGGAGATCCATTTCACAAATGTCCTTTCATGGACCACGAGACAAACAGCTTCAAATTTGGATTTCTGTATTGTGTTTTGAATTTGGACAGGGTATTACAATCTGAGTAATAATAATATTATAGTTTGTTGTTAGCGACAGACTAGAAGGACGGTGTTTCAGAGAAACAACAGAAAATGGCTCCTTTATCTCTCCACAACAACTACAGAGGGACAAGTCAACTAGTCAAGAGGGCCAGCTCTGTCCTGGGAAGTCCCCCTGACCCAGCGCAGGTGGTGGGTGACAGGAGGACGTTAGCTGAACTAGGATCCCTGCTGCTGCTGTAGCAGCTTTGTAAATTTCGCCACTGTGTGACTTATAAAGGTTCATCTTATCTTGTTCTTAACCCTGTCAGCGGTATAGCACTGACATCAGCACTAGAGGACAAAAACAAGCCAAACTTTAAAATGCCATTCAATGCTGCTGGTATTAGTATCCATCATCAGAAATGATTAAGCTCCCTGGTGCATCCTCCCTTAGCAAATACATTATAAAATGATAAAAATGAGATGACAAGCAACAACAGCATTGATTTTAAAAAGGGTTTTGAGAGGTCTGTGTGCAAAAAACAGGTGTTTACAATACAAAATACTTTTGATTCAAAGGTAACACACACACACACACACAAAATTCAAAATGCATCACTGATACTACAAAATACAGCTAAAAAGTTACTACCATGAATGTGATCAGGACACAGCCATATAAAAATACATGAATAAAAAGCAAGAACATAAGAAACTATCATTAATAGTGAGTAGGAGTGCTGGGCCTTCTGAATGGTATTTGGTATTCTCTTCATTGGTGTTCACTGGCTTTCTCTCGGAGGACAGTGTTCATTCACTGTTGCTCTTATGATTGATTCAAGTGTGTTTCAGTCAGACAGTCTCAGTTACACAACTGACACATTCAACTCTTCTCCGCTCTCTCTTCTAGTTCAAAGGTCCAAATCAGAACAGCTGGTACCCTGCTACAACTCATATCGTCACCACTTTGACAGGGAATGTTGTGTCAACTAAACCTGTCCACCAAAGTAAATATAGTCTCCCTTAGTATACTGAGCCATTCAGAAGTTAGCAGACTCCAACACTAGTGTCAGAATCTACTAAGAAAAAGTTCCTCAGTGATAAAATACCTGAACACAAATGTGATATCACATAGTAAAAAAGGCACCCTTTATGAAAGAGTTTTGGACTAAAGCTGATAGTGTAATAAAATCATTTCAATGCTTTGTAGTTCATTTATAAGCCATTAATGAAAAACAACTGGGCTTCCAGACTGTTAAAATATCAGCTTTTTTCATGGTCAAGAGCCTACAGTAATGACTTCTACTCTGTGTCTCACGTTCCTCAGCTAGTCTCTAGCGGAGTCTGTCTTCTGTTTGGTTTGCTGAGCAGGAACTGTACAGTGGCTCTGTGGAGCAGCTGATCTGAAAACAGCTACTTGAATCCAGGCTGACTAGAGTGCTGATGCATGGTCAAGACTGTAAGGTCATTGGCCATTAAAGCAAAGCAATGAGCTGAAAGTAGCTTAAAAACTATGTAGAGCTGAGAGGACATCTGTGATAACACTGCACATACAGCTATTTGATCCAGATGCACTTTTAAACTGTGTAAGTTTTGCCTAACAGTGACCAACAGTACACACGGGCACCTACCAATTCATTTGTCATAAAACTAGACAAACAGCTTTATGGCAAACTGTTTCTGTAATATGGTAAAACAGTGTAACATTAATACAAGGAATCTCACTCAATGTGTGACGTGAACTAAAAGTGAAAACCACACCAAATGTATGCTATGGCTGCTAGCACCTTCACCACAACAATTTTATGAGGCAATATGTCAGGTGTCATGTTTACAGCCTGTTCTGCTGTCCCCAAGTGGACAAACATTGTAATAATGCAGCTTTAATATGGGCCATGGGTCTAACTTTCTACTAAGCCATAAGGTCCGCATTTATACAAGTTAAATGCTTTAATAACAAGCTATCAACCTACCTGCCTATGTTTTGTGTTGAAATAATTAATTTCTCTTGGTCCAGCTGTCATCTGGGAGATGCTCCCGGATGAATTAAAGAGCTAAAGAAAGCATTACGTTGGAGGCAAATAAACACCAGCAAAAAAAATTTAAAAAGACAGAAGTTGTTCTTTTTACCATAAAGCATTATTAAATAACAAAACTATTAGTTAAACCACTAGTTATAGTTTATGAACTCTTCATAGAGGATGCCTTATTAGAAAGTGGTACCACAAAACTTGTCAGATGGATCTAAAATCTAAAAGACTACACATATATCAAACCCACAACTAAACGCTATAATTCTAATGAAAAACAGATAAAACACAGACGAGTCCACACAAAAACCATTATGTACAGTGAGGAACAGAAGTATTTGAACACCCTGCGATTTTGCAAGTTCTCCCACTTAGAAATCATGGAGGGGTCTGAAATTCACATGGTAGGTGCATTCCCACTCTGAGAGACAGAATTAAAATAAAAATGTCAGGAAATCACATTGTATGATTTTTAAAGAATTTATTTGTCTTGCACTGCTGAACGTAAGCTGATTTCTAAGTGGGAGAACTTGCAAAATCGCAGGGCGTTCAAATACTTCTGTTCCTCAATGTATGCCACAAACCCAAAGACAGGCAGAGGATAACCCCATCAAAGATATAACATCTCTAAAAGACTGGTTCTGGATGATTTAAGTAATAAATATGTGTGCAGAAAGCTCATCAACAACTAGATTAGAGTTCAGCAAAGAAAAGAGTCAGACTGAGAAGAAGTGGAATACAGGCTGACAAGAGCCTCCCCCACTCAGCCGAGTGTGTGTGTGTTTGTGTGTCAGCAGTAGTTTTTCACATTCCATAGTTAACAGAGCTCAGCACTGGTCTCTTCTTGCCTTTAATCTTGAGGGATCCATAACGAGCCTGGTGACAAAATAATACAAAAATATTACATTAAAAATGTTTTGTGACAAATGTGTTTATACAACCTGAGTAGCTGTGCTCTTTGATTTCAAAACAGAGTACCCTATGTGTACTAACTCTTGAGAACCCCCTCTCTCATATCCTTTTTATAAACAGATATAACAGATGCTTTTGCTACTTGAAACAGATCATAATACTTACATCTTTGCGGATTCTGGATCGTGCGATCTTAACACTCTGTGATCGTCTCAGTCCCTTCTGACTAACAGCCTCATCTTCAGAGAAGATTGCCTCTGCTTCTTCATCTGTTCTCTCCTCCTGGTCATAAAAGTACTCTAAAACACACACACACACACACACACAAAACAAGAACACTTAAACACAGACTCAGATTTGTTTCCCAATAACATAAATATTTCGGAAACCATGTTTGGTTGCACATCTCACATCCTTTTCACAGCCGAGGTTAGCGGGTGTTCAGACTGAGTGCAGTAAAATGCAACTCCCTGCTGTGTTTTTATGCAGGTGGTTGCATTGGTTAGGGGGTGAGGGGCTACAGGGGGAGTGTTGTAGGCATGTATGATACAGCCACATTGTGATGAGTCAATGTCAGTGGCTTCATTCACACTTCCAGCCTGCTAGTTTCCGTTGCGTTCTGCCATGCTGCTAGTTTAGCCTACTACCTTAGCACCAATTCTACCAATGATGTTCTACCAGTGCCTGCATTGATAGATTAAAAATACCATTTGTGTGCTGTTATGGCATTTCTAACTGTGGCCCAAATTTGAGAGTGAATAGCAGTGAATGCTCATGCTAACAAGGTAAACAAAAGAGTCTTCCTTCTGTGGGCACCCACGTTCCAACTGTCCCCCATACGTGATTGGTCAACACAGTGCCTTTGGCCGATGATGTCAGCGTCTGGTGCAGCAAAGGTTAAACCAGATTAAACTTTTTCAGCACACAGGGCTGCATCATTTTCCCGGAGCCCCCTGCAGTGCTGGTGCTGGCTGTGGTCAGTGCAATCCCCCATAGAAATGAATGGAGAGGGCTGCATTTTGACACGCAGTCTGAATGCGAACTTAGGATGACCAAGTATAAAAACAACCTAATCAGGCTGAAATAATGTGTGTGTGTCTATTACATTGTGTGGACTGGGTTTTTTTTTCCTCAATGCCATCATTGTGAGGACATTTTGTTGTTTAAAAGACATTTTAGCCAGTGAACACAGCTTCAGAGGGATTTTGGAACGTTATGACTTGGTTTTAGGGTTCATATTAAAATCAGGCTTAGGTAAGAGTTGGAGTTAGGCTTTTATTTGGTATGGTTAAAATTAGGGCCATTGGGATGCATCTTATTAATGAGTGTCCTCACAAGGATAGCTATACAAAAGCATGCAAGTGTATGCACCTGGGAGTGCTCGCATTGTGGGGACTCGCCTTGGTCCGCACCATGTAACTCATTGAATTTTAGGGTGAAGGCTGGAGTAAGTTCAGGGTTTGGTAAGGTTTAGGGAAAGGCTTAGGGTTATGCCAGTAGTGGCGAGAGGAAGTCTGACAAACCCTGATGATTACTTGTGGCTGCTGAGTATTTCAGATTCTGATTACAGGCCTGTGCAGGAAGCTGGATGAACTTAAATATGATAGCTGTGATAGTCAGGTGGTCCAGCAGAGGTCAGCAGTCACTCAGCAAACATCAGCTGCCACTGCTGCCTCCCTGCCTGGCTCTCTTGCAACAGATACACAACAGTTAGAAAGGTAATACAGAGGTTATATGTTCCACAAAATAAATGCATTAAAACTATATATCCTTAACAGTATACCATTAGATAAGAAGTGGCACGGTGATGCCAATGAGCACCTGCCATTAAAATAAGCAGACTGGCAAGTGCTGTTTCCCATGCCGCTGGAGGTATACCTACACTAAATGGCACCTGCCGTTAGATATAGACATGTACAGCATGCCTTTAGATCAGAAGTGGAATGCAGCATGCCAGATTGAGGGTTACTTGCATTTACTGTGGTAATATACAATATGCAGCAAGTACATTTAATTAACATTTCCTTAACCACACTGAATGCGATCCAATATATGATCACGTTGAAGAACTACATTTAAACATGCCAAAACAGTGCAAACGCGGGTAGATCGATTCTTATGTCACTTTATTTAGGCTGGCTATGCTACTGTGTTAGCTAAGGTGTTTTCTAGTGTTTGCTTTTGATGCAGAGTAGAGATATTTGAAATTAGTTTTCAGCCAATCAGTCAGTTATACAATAGCATGATCCAACAACTGATTAAGCAAGGATAATAACTTGGTCACTTATTCATCACACATTTGCGATAGCCGGGTAGATCAATATTTCTGTCATTGATTACACAGGCCTGCTATGATGGCTAGGCTAGGCTATAACGTTAGCTAAGGCGTTTTCTTGTGTTTATTTTGTACAGTAGAGACATTTGAAATTACTTTTCAGTGAGTCAAGCAAAATATAACAAGTGATTGAGCAGTACAGCAGTAGAATAGTTCAGTGTTACCAAAGCAAAATATAACAACTGATTGAGCAGTACAGCAGTAGAATAGTGGGGTAGGCATGGGAAGTTCACATAGCAGAGTATGTAGCACATTTCATTCATGCAGCAGACATTCAAGAAAACAATTATGATTTGAGCATTGGGGTTCTGAGCCCCAGTACAGCATTATGTCTAGCAATACCCCTGTGAATACACCTCCACTTTGGGTCCACTGCCTGTAGACATAAGACATCAGATACATCCACTCTGAATGACTTTAGGCCAGTGACGCTCACATCAGTCGCCATGAAGTTCTTAGAGAAACTGGTCCTCACACACGTTAACCACATGGTCCCGGACACTGTAGACCCCCTCCAGTTTGCCTACCGCCCCAACAGATCAGTGGACGACACGACAGCTCTGGCTTTATTCCATGCCCTGAAACACCTGGACAACAGCACTACGTATGCTAGGATGCTCTTCCTGGATTACAGATCTGCATTCAACACCATTTGCCCGGGTAGGCTGATCGAGAAGCCGACAAACCTTGGGGTCCTGACTCCCACCTGTAACTGGATTCTGGACTTCTTGTCTGAAAGACCACAGGTGGTCAGAATGGGAGGGCAGGTGTCTGCTGAGCTCACAACCAGCACAGGTTCACCGCAGGGCTGCTGTCTCAGCCCCAAACTCTTCACCCTGTACACCCACAACTGTGTCTCCAACCATGACACAATCATCATCATCCTCATTAAATATGCTGATGACACCACCATTCTGGGCCTCATCAAGGGGGGAGACGAGTCGGGCTACAGAAGCTTGGTGAATGACATTCTAGTTTATGGAGAGGAGAAAAACCTCATCCTCAACATTAACAAGACAAAAGAAATAAGTAGACTTCACGAAGAACCCCTCCTGTCTGCTGCCTCTGACCATCAAAGGGACTGAGGTGGAGAGGGCTGACAGCCACAAGTTCCTGGGCCTGAAGGTGACATCTGACCTGATCACTGAGTTTTGCGTAGTGCAGTTTTAATGCTGTGTTGCCCTTATATAACTTTTTTATTTTAAGACTGTTTTTTCTGGCTTTTGCCTCCTTACCTGACTCCAAAGGAGAGCTGCACAAGAATTCCTATATGCCTAGACTGTTTATGCATACATAGCTAATAAAAAAAAAAAATAAAATCTTGAATCTGTAGGCTTTTGCATGTGTGGACCAATAGGAAATGTAGCACAAAGTCTAAGTTTACACACTGACCAAACTTTAACATGGAAGAAATCAACAAATGCATTTTTGAACTGCCAGTAACCATCTTTTATTTTGTTCAGTAATTAAAGCCTTTTTATTTTCAGACTACGTGTTCTTTCTGGCTTTTGACTCCTTACCTGACTCCAAAGGAGAGCTGCACAAGAATTCCTATATGCCTAGACTGTTTATGCATACATAGCTAATAAAAAAAAAAAATAAAATCTTGAATCTGTAGGCTTTTGCATGTGTGGACCAATAGGAAATGTAGCACAAAGTCTAAGTTTACACACTGACCAAACTTTAACTGGAAGAAAAATCAACAAATGCATTTTTGAACTGCCAGTAACCATCTTTTATTTTGTTCAGTAATTAAAGCAGGGTTTGACCTGGAAGCCTGTAAAAGTCCCTCACGGTCTCTTTTGGTGACTGATGTGATTTACAAACAGCCTGTCCCTCCTCAAAAATGTTCTTAACTCCAAAGAGGTCTTAGACGACTAACAACTGACAGCAGGACCACAGATTTTACACCTGCTTTCTCCTGATGTTATATTCCAGCCACAGTTCCTTCTGCTGTAGCCCCAGTAAATCAGGCGCTGAGGGAGCTTGTGCAAATTTATATTCTTTCCTCCCTGATTTTTGCATCCCTGAAGGGAATGCATTAAAATACATATTGCTTGAGACCCAACATGCAAATTCCTGTAACGTTTCTCTGCCACAAAACCTCAGTCAGTCCTTAGTAAATATTAACGCAATTTCATTACTTAGTGCCAGAAAATGATGCAAATTCCTGTGCTGTTTCTCTGCCACAAAACCTCAGTCAGTCCTTAGTAAATATTAACGCAATTTCATTACTTAGTGCCAGAAAATGAGCAGCAAAACCTTAATAAATATTCCCCCTTAGAGTATTACCACATAATCACATCCTGACATCCATGCAATGCCTAAGACTATACCCCGGCAGTCAAACACTGTTATTAAAGCACAGTCTGTATGTGAAAAGCAAAGTGCTTTCTATTTGTTCTGGTTCTAGCTCCTGCTGCTGTTGTCACATCTGGAATCTATAAAACAACACCTCCCATTCTCCAGTGCTGGAAGCAGCATGCCATTGTTCCCTCCCAGAGGAAAGAAGCTGGGATGAGACCAAAGTGAGCTTCACATGAGATTTCAAATTCAAGTACAAGAATAAAAATACCATATGAATGCTGAAGTTGAAAACTTGAAACTACCTCAGTGTCCCCAGCCTGCAGTTCACAGGACAAAATCTGAATTAGGCAAACAACAACGACTAGCTCCAGTGCTGCTCGAGCAGGACCGATTCCCATGCTCCTAAATTTACACTCTAAAATGAAGAAGCCAATTGCACAGGAATTACATGTTGTGTAGCACGCCCTGTCATGTACGGAGCCAAGGGCTTATTAAACAAGGCTCCATCATCTTACAAGGACAGGCAGAGTAGCACAACGGCTTGTCCACTCAGGACTTTGGAATCCTCTAAGTTCCTCTAGACAACACATTACCTCACATCGGAAGTAGACAAGGGTTGATCTACAATGTCTTAACCTGCTGTTGAGCTGCTGCTGTTTCTGTTATTCACTAGGCTCATTCCAACTATTCTGTTGCCTTTAAACAGCACTGTGTTTGTGCTCTATCCTTGTGAGAAGCAGTTTTAGTTTACAAAGGGTTATCATCTCAGTCAGCAAATACACAGTGCTGTGTACATTGCAATAAATATACACCCAATGTTTGTTGAATTTAATGGAGTGTGTGATATTTTTTCCTTTGACAGTTGCTGATATAGCCTAGTTTCCAAAGGCATTCTTATATTGACATAGATGACAGAATAGGGCTAAACTGCAGAAGATGTAAAGGTTTTGATAAACAAATAAAAACAGCAATGATAAGCTTTGAAAATAAAACTTTGGTGATATTAATACAAATACAAACTGTGAAATACTTGATTGGTTCAAAACTATTATTATTATAATTAATTGATGCTGCAGAAAATTGGTGTAGTGTTATTTATCTTGAGGATGTGAGAGTGTTTTCAGTGGTTGGAATGACCTTACAGCTAAGGGTACTGGTGATATGAACCTTGTGATGCAGCACAAAATTATCCATTAAATCTAGTACTACAAATGTGATATGAACCTTGTGATGGATGGGAATGACCTTACAGCTAAGGGTACTGGTGATATGAACCTTGTGATGCAGCACAAAATTATCCATTAAATCTAGTACTACAAATGGTGCTCTAGTGAGTATTTGTGGCACAAGACAGTGGGACTGAGTAAAAAAGGAACTTCAGTGTATGTTCATGGTACTGAGGGCACGTTACCAAGTGTCACAGTGTGGCTCGTTGATGTCTCTAGATATAGAACAACAATGGAAATCTATGACAAAGAGCTTAGTCAGGTACAGCCCTACATTTCATGTTGGTTTGCTCTGTATATGGGATTTGTTGACACTAAGACAAATCATACAGTTTGTTGAAAAAAACCATCTGTAGAAAACAACTGGTGCCTAAAAACAGAGGATCTCCAATACAGCACCAGAAGGTGTGTGATGTCATGTGAATACCTTTCACAGATGTGAAAGCTATGTGACAGAGAGCAGCTGATGGTCAGAAACATCTCTCTTCCTTTGTCTCTCTCCCTCCCGTCATCTCTGTCTCTCTGCTGCTGAGCTGAATACATGACACACTCTTGCCTCACTCAGTATTCAAATGTTGTCTACCAGCCTTCATTCCAGCAACCCGTCTACCTCTTCTCCATCCATCTCCTACTCCAGTCTCCTCTTTCTCCGCCCGTTCCACCCCCTTTCTCACTCACCGTGCCTCACTGACTGGCTGCTTGTGAGCGTGTGTGTGTGTGAGTGTGAGTGAGACAAAAGGAAAAGAGAGGGAATGTGTTTGACATTCCACCAACATCCCACTGAACCCCATCTCATTCCCTCTGTCTGCTGGGAAGTCATCTCATACACACACTCTTGCTTTCTCTCTCTCACACAGAACTGCAGAGTGCTTTGACTGAAACGTCAGCTAATCTGCAAGCCCCATCATGCAAGCGACGATGGAGGGAAGGGAAAAAACATCAAAGAAACACAATCAAAATAAAAAGCTGATGTGGCTTCTGGATGCAACCATGGTGTGGTGATACAACCACAACAGTATGTGCCACCACTCTTATGAAAGATATTTGGGGGGATTTGATGGTGGCAGTTCTGAGTCTGGGCGTGCTCTGCATAAAATGCATACATTTGTTAATATTTTATATCAAGGAGCAGGCCAAGAAACCTTTCCCGAGTCCACCTGTACAAGTTGTCTTGAAATCTGGATTACTCAGACTGGTACAATCTGTATTCCTAGAACAACGTCCTGGTGAGCATGTCATGACCTCATCATCGGTGGTGGTGTAATTTAATTATTTAAATTCAACTTGTCCCAGTGAATACAATAGCTAGTCATATCATATATTTTTATTTTCAGAATGTCTACACTGAAAGCATAGCATGCGTGGCACGTAGCGTCATATGTAGCACATAGTGTAAAACACAAGGAAACAAAAATACACACATTTATAAAACAACTGTATATTTAGTAGGACTGATGTAACAAATCACAGATTATGTATTTGAATGTATTTCTTTATTTTTGAGGATTTCTAGTTGGAACTAGCAAGCTTTCTTTGTTTTGGTGGAATTGGTGCATAGCCCCAGAAAATAGACATGAGGCATAAAAATGGGCTTTAGGTTGAGGTTACTCGCATAAAGCATGAGTGACAGGTGAGCTGACACAGCTGGACACAGAATTCATGGATGCTTATCCTCAAAAGATATCTCCATTGGGGGTGAGAACATTTACAAATTTTCATAGATGAATAGATTTTTGACAGTTTTTCCCCCCCCACATGGTAGCCTACTACCCAGGATGTGAATTATAGCATAGCCCGAAGTGTCCTGGGGCGATGACAACAGACACTGCTGAGATTTCTGTAAAGTTGCAAAGTTTCCAAGTTCTTGGATCAAAAAGTCAAATGAAACGTTGTTATAACAGATACAACACCTTTTACCACCTCAGTAAGGTAGACAACAAGCTACAGCCTAATTTTCATCAGAACAAGCCAGTTCCTGTGCACTCGTCTCACAGACGGTTGCACATAGAGACCAGTCTGCACAGCACAGAGGAGGTTCGGTTTGAAGAAATTAAAGTTTTAGCCTTTTGTCTCCCTTACTACGGTTGGAGGGAGAAGTAATTTGTGTTCAAATATTTGAAAGTTTTTCTAACTTTTCTGCAGGTGTGCAGTCACTGAGAATCACTCAAATCTACGTACAATAATTAGTTTACACATGGGCATACAAAACAACATATGAAAGCAGCTGATGAGCCATTATAAATAATACATAGCCTGCACATGTCCCGATCAGCATCTGACAGGCATTTCTGAAAGCAGGTGAAGTCAGTTTGTGTGCTGCTGTCAGGAGGTGGCTTCGATCCACTTCAGAGGTGGCTGATATCGTAGCTATTTGATGCTTCATCAGGCAATAAGGTGAAAATATCTTTAATTTATTGATGAAGTTACAAAATGCTTTGACCCACTGTCCCCCCACCCATTCCCCTCAAAAACTGTTATTTAATCTTCTGGCTTTGACACACTGGTAGACCTACCAGAAGCTTGATGTTACAAGATGAAGTACCGACAGAATGTGAAACCTGGCAAAAAATTAAAAGCAGACTGAAACAGTACAACTAAAAGTTAAATAATTTAATGAAGTGAGGTCCTTAAACTTGACTATGGTTTGAAAGTGAACAGAGCAAGTAACAGAGGGATTTCCATGACTATGTGTTAATTAATTTAATGCAAATTTATAGCTATATTTAACCCACACCAGACAGAGTGAAGGCAGGTCAGCCCGTGCAGTCCACAGAGCTGAACTATGAAGACTCTATTTAACTGTGGAAAGATATATAGCTGTAGGCGTAGTGGTGCCTGCAGCCTTAATCCTGTACGCACCATGCATACATTTTTTTAAATGATCTTGTTCAAATATTACGCAACTGCGTCTGACATACAGTACGTAGTTTCAAATGTAGGGCTCGATCTAATATGATGTCACACACCCCTAAAGTGGATTTTATCATTTCTGCTCCTTAATATTAGCCTGCGCAGATGGTGTGAGAACTAGCAGCCACACTGACTTCACCTGTTGTCAGTAATGCCTGAAATATAATCAGGACATGTGCAGGGTGTTTGCTCATGAGCTACACTCATGTGTTACTTTGTGGGCTCATTATTGTGCATAGATTTAAGTGTCAGATCAGTGATTCTCAAGGACCAGCTGGAGCACACCTCCTAGGCACAACACTGGTCACTGTGTGAAAAGTTTAAATGGGAGGTTTTGCTGAGAGAGAAGCTGCTGAACTGACTGTGTGTACTGCTCAAAGTGAGTGTGTGTGCTGCACTCACCCCAAGCTGTGCAGGGCTCACTTTATTGCGAGAAAATTGCCTATGTCTTTATAAGGAGAAAATGCAGTATGTTGTAATAATGAGAAAAATCATGTTTTATCGAGAACATATCTCAAAAAAATGCTTGTTATAGCAAGAGGCTTCTTGTTATAATGAGATCACTGGAAATGGTCAGTTTCACAATTGTGTGTATGATGTCTGTGATTTCAACTTTGACTGGGTTATGATGGGGTGCAGGTTTTGATGTAAGTTACAGCAACCAGCTTAAAAGATTAAAATGTTTCAAATGCAGCAGCCAGTCTTGTCACAGTTAAATGTTCTCCTTTGGCTTCCTAAGCCTGGCTCCCAAGATTTCACTGAATTCTCCAAGATGAGATCAGGCTTCTAAGCATATATTGTCCTTCTTTTCTCTGAACTTTACATTTCAGCATTTCTTATTGTTAGTATAGTTTCTGGGTTTTGGTTACCTTTTGTATGAATCACCTGGCAAACCTTTGGAATGTTTGACAAAAAATAAAAAAACCTAACTCAAGATCGGTTTGCTAGCTTCTTATGGGAGCGCTTCTAAGAGCATTTCATCTTCCTCAGGGAGCAAAGTTTTCTCACTTACCTCAGAGATGGTGGTGTCACAAACGGAATACTAAGCAAACTTTATCCACTGAGGAAGACTGTGAGAAGTGGTGGTGAGTAGGCTAGAAGGGTACCTTTTCAGTCAAAGTACTATTTCCATGGTCAAGAGCATATCAGTGAGAAGTGTTTTCTAATATAATATAATCAGATTAGAATCAGATGTTCTGTATCTGCTCTAAATGAAGAACATATTTGAAATATCTTAGAATATGTTTTCTATCACCGGTCACTTTTGCATATTCCATCCAAAATCTGAAAAATCATAGTTTTTTGTTAGTTTGTGTGTGTACCTGGTCCATCGGAAACATCAACGCTCTGAGCTCTTCTAGCGGCGGGGTTGGCTGCAGTGGAGCTGTAATGATACAGCTGATTTCCTCCGTCATCCTGCTGGCCTATCTGTGTGAGGTCATGCATACTCAGGCTACGCAGCTTCTCGGTGATGGCACCCTGACCCTGTGACACATACAAACACAAACCAGTCAATATTACATCAGTGAGATTTTTGTTGAGGTCAAAAAACCTCACCTTGTGTTCAGGTAAGACAAGTACATTGATGAATGTAAGTGTTGGTGCCATTACACAGTAGCGTACTTGATCGCCTTTAATTGAACATATTTGTTTTTCTGTGAAATTAATAGATAAAGAATGTTTAATTTTTCTTTTTAGGTGGAAGAGTACTATCACTTAACCACATCAGAACAGACTTGTCGGCGAGTCTCTGCTGTTGTATATGCTGATCACTGTGAGCACATACACAAAGTTAATGATTGTCTATTCATTGTCAGGGGATGTGCTCCTCCAGTAACAGAGACTGTATGAGCAGTTTATCAGGTGAAATGAGGGAAGCTCAGGGGGTCTACTCTCTGCAGCAAGAGCCTGATGGCAGAGACTTTGAGCCAGGCTCAAAGCTGTTAATATTTTCATCTGTAGGACTGGTATTATGCCATTTTATTACGTTTTACCTTTTTTTTTTCAGGCAACAAACTGGCCACTTAGATTGAGAATATGTTGTCAATCAATGTATGCTGATTTAGAATTTGTTCCAACATTTTTGGGGATGTGAGTGCTCTGACCAAACTAGCTCTATTAGCAGGCAGCTACATCTCGTTTAGAGCACAGTTCCATGTCGGCGAGTACGCCAGTGTTCCACCGGCACATTCTAGCGGCATTTACACTGTTGGAACCTAACGAGCAGTACACAGCGTGCTTCCCTTAACCATCACCCAGCATAATCTCACAGGTTGACACAGACCGTCCTGCTTTGATTTTTCCTCTGTATATTTCCATGTCAGTCTGTCTAGAGGAGACACACACGGCTCAACAGAGGGAGAGCACAGGAATGAAGGATCACTCCACAGTGCACCAATCAGCCACTAACAGAGATCATATGAGCAGTTTATCAAACAGCTGTTGAACAAGCAGAACACAAACTCACACAAATGTGATGTCTTCACTGCTTTGCCCACAGTTCACCCCTACACCAACAAGTGAATGTCTGTCATGTCTAATGTTTTTCTTGAATACATTTCAAACTAATAATGATATCAGCGACATTCCAAAATCCCAGCAGTCAGTTTTCATGGTCAGGCAATCACATTTTGAAGGCCAAACTATCATGGGAATATTGCTTTTGTGGCTTTTATGGAGAAACAGTTGACCCTTGGTGGAGGTTTGCACTCTCTGAGTGCTGTTTAGTTATTTATGGGTTACTATCATAACTTAACTGACTGCAGAAGTGATACAAACAGACATGCCACCTCAATTAAAGAGCCACCCTGATAAATATTCTATTGACTGAATGCATTTTGAAAGCCAAACTAGATACTGGTTATGAGCTGACCAAAAACCAACTGAGACTGTCACTTCCTTATGACTGGTATAGAGCTTCGATGTATGCCCGCAGGCTTGTCACTTCCATGTTAGGTGAAAAACCGGTGGACAGACATCCGGTAATATTCCACAGTCAAACAGAGCTTAAATAACAAGATATCAGCAGAGCATTATTGTTCACTCAGTGCACAGTTAATATACAGTATATTAGCCATGTACTGTGGATGTGGATACCTTTCACACCATTTCTGTAGAGTCATAAAGTCCACTGAGCTTTTTAGAGTAAACTTGTTTTATGTTTGGCCCCCCACTGAGCTCCAGCTGCTTAAAAACAGCTCCAGTTATTGATTCATGTGTAAGTGGTCCTCCACAGCTCTCAACCGATGTAAGCTGAACAGCTGCTCTCACTTGTTCGCTACAGTGGAGTATTACAATAAATCTCTATATTATATTTGCATTTTGATATATAAAAACAGGGACTAATCTATCATCTGATCTAGTTGTCTGTTAAAGCCTTACTGGAAAATCCCTAATATTATATGATGTCTAACACTGAAGTACAGAAGGTACTACAATCTAATTATCATAGCACAAAATAAAGATGGCAAGATATTATTGACAAGAACCCAGAATTCTACAATGATATAAACATCATGATAGATACAGTTCACAAAATGGGTATAAGGAACAGGAGAAAAGGACAAAAAATTAAGTGAAGAGATTGTTGATAAAACCTAAAGCAAATGAAAGAGAAGATTATGTTGTTATAATGAAATGAAATTTTAAAGGGCCCATGGCATGCTTTTCCTTGCTTTCTGACTTATCTAGTGTTACAACAGCAAATTATCATCTTAGACATGACCTAAAGATCAAAAAATGAGGTGTACATACTGTATGTTCTAGTACTTCTATGCAGAGGTAACTCAGTTTATACACATCTCGCAAACTCTTGCTTGCGAGACTTTTTTTTTCTACCAAAATAAAGTATTACATGTGATAGTTTAAGGATTTCCTTGAATGGGCATAAATTCAGGCCATTGAGTGTTTATGTGAGTTTGCCTGACATCCACCGGCAACCCCACCATATTGGCAAAATGTTATACTTCCGTGTTTGTTATGTATGTTTTCAATAAGGCTTATAAAAAAAATAAAAAAAAAGCAAACATCAACTGGTGCCATTGTAAAAGCTAAATTTTTTGACTGCGCCAGGTTTTGTAGATATAGTTTCCCTCCTGCTGCACTGTGACCACAGGATGTGGAGAAAAATACAGGGCTTGAAGTTACTGCATGTCCGGGAATGTTCCTGTACAGGGACTCACCATTTTACCTGACCAGATCTAACCTATAAGCAGCCAGCCAGTGAAGCCCCCACAGCAGTGAATGGTCAGCTCATCAATGCTGGATACCCCGAGTGCACAGTACCTGTTTCTTTTGACTGCTTGAGGCCAGTTTGTCTGTTGTATGTGATGTGTTACTGGTTAACGAGCGGAGTAACGACCCATGATGTTATTGTCAGTGCTACACTACCTGTTGGAATTAATTTCACTATTTTGGGACTGTATGTGGTCATGTGGGAGAAGACGCAGTGACCACTGGTTGGATTTACTGACCTTGGAGCTACTTGAAAGGGAGTGATGTTTCCACTACTCAGTGGGACTTAACGGTAAGTTTAAAAAACACACATTACATGTCTGTTAATGCCTTCTTTCTGTAATCTTAGAGAGAATAGTTGTAAAACTGGAGAAATTACTATGTCTGGATTATGCCAGTTAAAATATGGGGTTTCTCAACTACTCGATTTGTTTGGAGTGTTACATCCCTTTTCATCAGTACATATACCGTCGTTGACCTATCTATGTAGGAGAAATTCATATTAATGCCATCGCAATTCATTGTGCTGTCCACTTTTGACTCAACACCAGCAGCAGAGAGTGTGTTCGTTCACAAACTATCCTCTTGTTTTATCATTCTGAAATAATTAGACTATTTAGAGTTATGATGTACCTTCTTGTCCAGATGTTTGTTGAGTCGGTCCAAGGCCTCAGACTCTCCTCCCTGCCACACAGCCGGCAGTAAACCCTAAATGAATATGCCATGGGCACTTTAAACATAGGGGGGAAATCCTACAGACATTAAGGGACATAAATGAAGAAAAATGTAAATATTGAGTTGAATGTATTTTGCAAATACTTAGTCTTTATTACAGCAGTAAGAAGAAGATGGAAATTGACACTGAAATTTACTCTCAGCTACCAGGTCTGGTAAAAGAACAGAAATGTTTGGAAAATCAAAGGATGGGGTACATGGTGCCATGGGAGAATAATGCTGGAATGAAATGGCAGGGAAACCATCTGTCCATGCTGCTTACACTGACTGATTTTTACCTCTCAGAGCAGTCTGCTGAAGCATAGAGACCCTGAAAAAAGAAGGATGTCAGTACAGGGAGAGAAAGAGAAAAAGAAACAAAGTCACAAGAGGGTTAGCTAGCAAGCAAGTTGGAGCAGATCCACACATCATCTTGACAAAAAAAGAGAAGTAAAATGTAGCTTTCTGTCTCACTAAAATCAGATCATCACGTACATGGTGGTTAGATACTTTGAGCAGAAGATGCACAGCAAAAGTGATACAGCTTTTCCACTACCTGGAATGCACTTCTGTAAATTGGTACCAACATTGACAGGAGCATGTGTATTTAAGTGTTTTCTTGAAAGTCTTGCTGTACTATCTTCAAAGTATTAGAAGACCCAAGAACAGAAATGTCTGGATCTGACAATATTTTTTTCAATTTCTAAATTTACAAAAGTGTACTACTACAGTGGCAATCAAGAGGTAAGGATTTAACTTAAGTCAATAACTAAGGACGACAGGCAGGAAGTCAGCATACCTCCACGCAGGGGTTGGAGGATCAAATCACACATACCATACCAAACCAGCTATGAAGAGTCAGTCAAGGGACAAATGACAGAATGTCCTTTTAATCTGTTCTGATGACCACTGGATACGCTGTGATTGAGCCCTCTGTTACTTAACCACTTAAAGAGTATTGGGCTTCATTCACCAACTGTTCTTAAGAAGAAGGTTCTTCTTAAAACCCACTTACACAGTTTACATGAAGGTTCTGACATTCACCAATGGTATCTTATCTGGGATTTGTGCTTAGTTAAGAGCAGACTACGCACACTGAAGAGCACAGCCTTTTTATAGGGATTGGTGGGGCGTTTACCTTGGCTAAATAGCAATGACTGGTATGTGTTGTCAACTTATGAAGACAATGGGATTCATCATTGTAAGCTCAAAGGTGCGAACAATTTAGAGGTTTAAGAACATGCTATGAATCCAATGCAAACTTTTCTTAAGAACACATTTAAGCAAAAACTTAGAAAGACACTAGTGAATGAAGCCCAACAGTCTTCCTACATTTCTATAAAAACAACAACAACAACAAACATTTTATGGCTAATACCAGGCACCAAATTCCATCTGTGTAGCTACTGCTTACTAGTATGTTTTTGTTGTCTGAAGAAGATAGTGTAAACCAATAGGGATCCAACAGTGTATTTTTATATCATGGTATCCAGTTTTGTTTTGGAGTAAATCCATGCATCCCAAGAGAGACAGGGGTCTAAAAATATGAATTACAATTTGTGTGAACTTTCCAATACTATTGTTGATCATCTGTCAATACCATTGTTTTTTGGTTAAGAGTGGTGAAACTCAAACACAACCCCAATCACAAAGCAGGACGGTAGTTATCAGAGAGCAAACAAAGCAGAGAGGCAGAAGATAAGAGCTTAGGGGGAAAAGTGTGACATAGGATTCATGCAGTGTTTAATAGGTGAGGCAGCTGTATTTATATCGCACATAACAAAAAAGCAAGTGTGTTATACAGGCAAAAGGTACCACTACAAATATTAAACATTAAAAATGAATACAATCATTTAAGACAAAAAATCCAATTCTAAAAAGGGTAGAAATGAAATAAAATAAAATACAAACAAACTGACACCTGACTACTTTGCTCTTGCTCACACCACTTTCTCTCCTCATTCACTTTGTAGCTCTCTTGACCACCACTGATCTTTCCAGCTCCCCATTCCACCTAATTCTGTTTATACCATGCAGCTTTCTGCCGTGCTGTACATTTATTTTTCTTGGGGATTTACAGTTTCGCAGCAGTTTTTATTCTATTTTGTATATGTTGTTTCATTTAAAGTTTAATTTAAAAAAAATGAATGCATTTAAACTGTTGAGTTTTACAAAAGTTCACAAAAAATAACAAGCAATTTTATTTCCCTTACTGTAGCAAAAATGAGCCAGACTGTGACTTCAAAAGTTAAGGACATACCGAAATGTGTCTGCCCACAGTTACACCCCTATTTCAGTCACAAACAAAAATGTAAATCCTTAGACAGGCGATATGATTTTGTTAAAAAGATCTCTTAGTAATGAAGTGATCATTCACCAGTGGCATTTGAGCTGTACTGTCCCGGCGTCTGGGGGCAAACTGCAGGGCAGGGTGTGAAGTTGACAGTAGGGGTTGCAAGACTTCCAATTTGTTTGAGTCAATATTTTGTTAGAAAAGTGAAGTCGACATCGACTAGTCACTGATGACGTCATCAAAAGAAAAAAAGGCTAACAGATTCTCTGGGTCACAGATGAATTGGTTATCCACCCAACCACCAGTTGGCAGTAGTGAGCAAATTGTTGCTTGATACACAAGAACACAAGAAGAGGTCAAATGCACTCAGACAAGCTTCATTAGGGGGAAAAGAATCATGATTTACAAGAAAAAGACTTAAGGGTGGGAACATTGCTAACACGTTTGTTTCAGTAACTTTCACAGCTCAGTATGATCATGATTTTACCTTTTATAAAATATGAGAATAATTCAAGATTGGCAAATATATTCATTAGACAGATTTGTCTAGCTTTAGACTGAAGACTACATTTTGTGCGACCAAGCATCGTAGTTTATGTGGGCACTTCAGGAAGCAGGATGGGAGGGGGAAAGAGCAGTTAGGAGCATCTTATGGTGTGAGTTTGTGTTGAGTCCCACTAGAGCCTGGAGCAGCTAAGAATTTAGGTAGAATACATTTAAAAACAAGTCCAGCAAATTACGCTTATTCATTTTTTCTGTTCAGTGACGAGAACTCGCATGTTCTAACTCAGAAACAGTAATTTTTCAAGCAAATATTCTCCAAAATTGATGTTTTCACTCTCTAAAAAACGATTTCCTATTTTTATAGCACAGTAATCTGAACATCCTTGGGATTCGGTCTGTTGTTTGAAAAACACTAGACATCTGAATATGTCACCTTGTATTCCAAGAGACATTTTTTGCTGTTCTCTTACTGTTTATAAATCAAACAACTGTACTGATAACGCTTACAGTATTGATAATAAAAATAACCATTAGTTGAGTCTTCATTCAAATTTGGTTGGACACAGTAATTAACTGCTACTCATAAAACCAGTATCGTATCACGCTGCACCACACCTAATCTAGACGGCTTGTACAGTGAATGTGGAGCTAACAACCTGACATGATTCCACTGGCTGGGGTTACCTCAGTGCAGCACAGCCTTAGACAGGAGATCAGCAGGGATTATCTGATACACTAAGGCATTTGCGCAATGCTGATGAAACTAGTTCTCACACACATCCACACCCTTCACTTATACTAAGAGATGGTTGAGGAACAACGCAAAACTTCAGACACACACAGAGCATACATTTGGATGAGTACAATGATACAATATCATACTCAAGTTGAGATTTTATTTAGGATTGGCTGTTATGTTTAATGCATCTCCAGTGCAGTCCACATTAATAACACTACTTCTTTCTGTTTTTCTCTTAAGTGTGATTTAGCAAGCCAAATCAAGAACATTCTGTGCCAGCAGCTTGAATTTGGCAAAATTTGCTGGAATTCTGTGCTGTACAAAACCGGTAGAGGGCACCACTGTATCTAAGCAAAGATGGCTAAAGCTTTCACAGTATCTCATAAAGACAGACAGAAACAATTTTCAAAATGTTTCTCTTCAGTAAAGGCACAGATGTTAGTGAGAGGGAAAAAGAATCTGAAGTACCACACGAGTGGACCAAACTGCCACAGAAAGGTATCTTGAATAAGCTGGTAATAATAGTTTATTAACAATTAAAGTAATTAGTAAAATAGAGCCCTTAAAAACATCAGATGTTTAGTGCATATAGGAGACAGACACACTTGCCTTGACAGCTGCAGTGACAGCGGCAGTGGCTGCAATGCTCAGTCCCTGCCTGCCAAAGTTCACCATGGTCTCATAGCTCCTCTCTTTGGCCTGCACGATATACTCATCTATTTCCTAGAGAGAGACAATCAATAACATTTTCTAGTGGACAGTTTAATCAAGTAAAAAGCAATGTGACTATTAATATTCTCAACAACAACTGATCCCAGTCTAGAGAGGCAGACAGATGGACTGATCTTACCCTCTCCCTGGAGGACAGCAGAGGGTGCAGACACTTCCTGTAAATGAGACTTGCTCCTTTGGTGTAGGGGGACAGCAGCCAGATCACAAAGCCTATCTTCAGCTCATAGTACAAGGGAAACCTGGACATGTACACACACAGAGCATTCCAATAAAGTAACTTTTGCCTTAGCCCTTTTTTCACTGCAGGAATTAATGTAACAAAACATGTAGCTTTGTCAGTGCTGTTATCCACAGTGCCAGTGTTGTCTAAAATAAACATTTTGATACATTTTCAAATTTTTAGAATCAGTTTCAATACTCATTTTCCATAGAATCGATACATTGCTACTAGCTGTGCTTTCCCTCCAACAGCGCGCTCATGCTTGTTGAACAAGACATCGGGTTAGATTCTCGTTAGGCATACTGTGCATGAATGGTTGGGGTTAGGATTAAGGCTGGATTCAGGTAAATGTAAGCAGAACTACTAATTGGTGGGAGAACATGCTTTGACAACATTGGCCCTAGCAGTGCCATGGAGCTATCTGCATATACATTTCTCAGTATTAAGCAGAGAGCACTGACCAGTTTATACCCTATAAAATGTCCTGTTCAGTATGTTAAAAAAACAAACAAAAGAAACATATTAGGATTGTTTCCGGTTATGTGTTTGTTAAATATGCAGCCTTTCACATCCCCTGCTGCAAGCATGGTAAGAAAATGTTCCTCTACAGCAGTTTATGTATATGTCCAGCAGAGAGGACAGGATGAAGCCACAGACAGTCACCAGTTTAAACTAAGAACATGTACCTTCATTAAATTAAACATTTAAATTGCCACTTGTCATTCTACAGAAGGGAACACCCAGCTGAAAAGGGCTGGGAACCACTGTTGTAAGATGCATCTTAGATGTCACGCTTTGTAAAATACAGCAGACACAAGAAAAAACCCTCATACAAAGTTCTTAAAGTGTAGGTTATCTGTAAGATGTATCTTAGATGTCACGCTTTACAATACAGCAGACACAAGAAAAAAACCCCATACAAAGTTCTTAAAGTGTAGGTTATGAGAAGTCATAGGTTACGTTACTGTTACATTGCAAGTTCAGTTACATTACTGCCGTATTACTGTTACATTGCAAGTAGTGTTGTCACGATACCAACATTGAAAAAGAACTGCGTTCCACACATTCATCAGTCCCTCATTAAAAGTCCATTCTAATTACATTAGTTGATATGAAATCCCATATATTAACATAATTCATATTAGAAAGGGAATTTCCACTAGTGATAGAATCAGTATATCATCAATGCCACATGTAGTCATCACCTAAACACACAATACACATGAGAGGACTGTTGGGTTTTGTTTAGAAAACAATTACATAACAGACTGTTTTGTATTTTTTGTGTATGTTTACTGATATAAGAGTGTGTGTGTTTGTGTGAAACTCACCATGCCAGTGTTAGGTCAGTGGCGGTCTCCACGACAGTGTAGAGGGCATACACAATCCAGTACATCATCCATCGCACCTGCAACACAGGCACACAGAGACAACACTGAACAACAGAGCTAGACCGACTCTTGTCGCCACTTATTGGCTGATGACTTGTTGACAGAAGAAATTGCAGTACAAATATGATTTTAAAACTCAACTTAAGCTGGCCTTACACTAAAAAACTATCTATAATAAGACAAAAAGACTAAAGTCTGACAGCTTCTCACATCTAAAGACAATGAGATTTTAGTCATAGACTGTTTGCAAGACTGCAACTAGATTTCTCTGGAGACTACTTCCCATATGCTCCTGCATTTGACTACAGCTACACTTGTGTGTGCAGTGTTTTGCTTGGCAAAAAAAGACACAACAGAATGTGGGCACGACCCTATTTGACTGAAAGGGCACAGTGAGGTCTGTCCAACTTTTCTTTCTTTACTCTGTCACAGTACAAATTGGATGGCATGTCAGACAGACACTGTTGCTCAGTCCACAATCGCACCCATTTCTCCTCCTTTGTAACGGTCCAACAGCATGGAGTCTCCATCATATGTACCCGTAAATGTCTCATGGATTAACAGCTGTTTCTGTGCCCGCTATGCTGCTTCCTGTTTGGTGCTGGAAGGAGCTCACCTATTGGTTGTTTACAATATTCACATCACTGTTCACATGAGCCAAGACTAAAGACTATTAAAAAATAGTTGATTTTATTGGAATGTCAAGTCAAAAAGACTCAGATCACCACCTTACACAAAACAATTGAAATGACACAATCGTGACACGAAATTGCTTGAAAATCTACCAAGTAAACATGGTCATTATGATCAATACTTAAGGACCTTGATAACAGGATTTAAGTCACTTTAATACTTAGTAAGGATTTGAGGCCTATATAATGTCTTTTCTTCTGCAGATACCTGTACCATGTTTGACAGGACCCATCAGTTATTTGAGGGCTTGGACAGAAATTTAGAAATTATGTTCGGGTCCATGTTGGCTGTCCCTGGTAGGCTAGTGGTTAAGGTGCAGCGCTCTCGCCGCTGCGGCACCTCGGGTTCGAATCAGGGTTGTGTCAGGAAGGGCATCCAGCGTAAAACACGTGCCAAAGATCAACATGCGAGTCGTCAGTGTGACGAGTCGCCGTGGTGACCCCTAAACGGGAAAAGCCGAAAGTGACTTTCTATGTTCGGGTCCATGTTGGGTCGGACTCCTAGGTCAAACTTTAGGCTAGACAGCTGGAGCCCTCAAATGCCTGCTTTGTTTAATTTTAAGGGGAAAAATATTATACTAACTCAACTGTGTCAGGGTTGGACCAGGTTCGAATATAATATACTATACTATGTACTTTTTCTGGGCAGAAAAATGTGGCGCAGCCCATGTTCTAATCCTGTTCCTCATTAACAGTAAGGTTAAGGATTTTTTGTCTTTCTGCTTTTATGCTTTTTGCTGTCCTTCCTGCTTCTTTGCTCCTCTGTCCCTTTAAGGGTTCTCCAGGCTCTTCTGGCTGGATTTCCATATCAAAGCCAGCAGTAGACAGTGGCAGGCAGGCAGTCACATGGCAGGCTGCAGTATTCACCAGACCCTGCTACTGCCTCACAACTGAGCACACACTGACACTAGCTAATAAAATGCGTGCGCATCTGTGTGTGAGAGAGAGTAGAGTGCATGTGAGAACAAGACAGGTATAGTGAACAAAAACACACACTTTCACCTGCAGTCTAATTCACAATAAGCAGACACTGTTCTCCTACGCACTGCACACTGTCTTTTCACTTCCTGCACCATTAAAGGCAATCTCATCAACTCCCTCCACACTTATGCTCACACTCACAAACACACACACACACTTGTTTTTGTCACTTACCAGGTCTGTACATAGATTTACACTCATTCCTGGGAGACTCACCCTAAACTTAACCATAACCACTACTTGCCTAACACCCAACCCTTCCCCCAATTTGAACCAAAGCCAATACTTGCTTTAACTTTACAGTCTTGTTGTCCTAAAATTCAACAAACTACAGTACGTTGTGGAGACCAACGTACTAGCCTCTGAAGCTAGTGTGTTCTTGGTTTTCCATCCCAACAAGTATACAAAAATAAGGCCCCCCACTAACAGTCACATGGGAATGATAAATATAAAAGGAGAGAGTCAAACAAAGCCAGTGAGATGGAAATGACATCTTATTTATGTATTTCAATCTCCTCCTGCCTCTCTTCTACCTCTCCCTTTCATTTGCCCCTTCATACCTCAGTCTCTGTCCATCCCTTTTCTCCTTCCCTCCCTCCCTTCTTTATCTCATCAGAAGGGTGGACATTAAGACATGTCCTCAGTAAAATATATAGCTTCCATTTTGCCTTCCTGAGCCAATAGCAGACATTTATTGGCCTCATCTGTGAATAACTGCCTTCCATTAAATGAGGAGGAGGAAAGGAACCCCTGACATCAGCTCTTCACAATTCCATAGGCCCACTGGAAAAGCTATATTTGGTAGACAGAGGTGGGGATATTGACCAATGAGTGTAGAGTATATAAAGATCACCACTTCCTGGCACTACGCCAAATTACCGTGCATACTGCCATTTTGCTTTTGTTATATATTTTGTGTAACAGAGGCAGAGCTGCGTTATCTGCCAATTAAAGTTATATCATCTGAATCACACCCCTTTTTGATATAATCAAATAACTTATTAAAATTGCTGACATTGGGTGAGAGATGGGGTACCCTCTGGACAGGTCGCCAGTCTATTACAGGACTGAATTGTAGACAGACAACCACACACACTTGCACTCACTCCTACAGGCAGTTTAGAGTCTCCAGTCAACCTAAGCTGCATGTCTTTGGACTGTGGGAGGAAGCCAGAATACCCGGAGGCACAGGGAGAACATGCAAACTCCACACAGAAAGGCCCCAGGTTGGCCTAGGCTTGAACCCAGGATCTTCTTGCTGTGAGGCACCGGCGCTAACCATCGCTGTGCTGCCCCCAACACCTAGAAGCTAAGTAGTTTTGCCTGTTTATTCTCAAGTGTAAAACATTCAAAAAAACTTTCATATTTAAGAAGCTAGACGCTAAGTAGTTTTGCCTGTTTATTCTCAGCAGAGTATTGAGTAAGACAACTTGTTGTTCTGCTCAATTGGAATACAGATAATTCCAACTTTCTCAATGTTTTCTTTCAGTAAAATGTGTCTTTGGGGGCAGCATGTGGTTCAGGGGTAGAGTGGTTATCTAGCAACCGTAAGGTTGGAGGTTCTATTCGCATGTGCATGCAGTCCACATGTCGAAGTGTCCTTGGGCAAGACACTAAACCCCAAGTTGCCCTCGATGGCCAGAGTTGCACCATGCAATGACAGCGCCACCACCTGTGTGTGAGCTGGCGCCACAGATGGCAGCCTCGGTTCTGTACCAGAGACAAATTCCTTGTGTGTGTGTGTGTGTGTGTGTGTGTAACATACTTGGTCAACAAAACTGATTATCATTATACAGTATAGCCCTTTTCAGTCATGAGATACTAACCTTACCACTTAATCAGTCTGTTAAAGAGAGAGCTTTCTGTCTTTAAGACAGGGAACTCTTATCGCTAGGGCTGTGCAATTAATCAAATTTTTGATTTCGATTTCAGGGCTCAACGATCACAAAAATGGTGTACTCGAGAAAAAAAATGATTATTCCGTTTTTTAAAGTTATTTTGGCCTGCGTTCGTGCATCCGCACTTTCACTTTCGCTTTCTCTTTCGCCCTTCCCCTTGCATATGTCATATCTGATCGCATTTAAAAATCAGCGCGAGGGAAGATGGCAGAAAAAGAGCAGCCACAGAAACCTTTGGTCAACAAAAAAGGTAGCAGAAATTCTGTTGTCTGGGAACATTTTGCATTTGAAGAAGCAGATGTGGATAAAAAACATAGTACATGCAAGATTTGCTACGCAGTTGTGGGCACCGGCTGGTAACACCACAAATCTTTTCAACCATTTAAAATTCAAACACAGACCGACATATGACCAACTAATAAACAAACAGAAAGAAAGACAAACATCCTCTGCAACACAGTCATCAATTAAAGACAGGCTCTTCAGTGCACCTCCATATCCATCCAGCTCAGAAAGGCACAAAAAAATAACAGATGCTGTTGCATACTTTTTAGCCAAAGACCTGCGCCCTATTAGCACGGTTGAGAACGAAGGATTCAGAAAAATGATAAATACTCTGGACAAGCGTTATGCTTTGCCATCTCGACACCATTTCACGAGAGTTGCTCTGCCTGCTTTATTTGAAAAATGCCGTGCAGAAGTGGCTAATGAAGTATCAAAAGCAGAGTACTTCTACTACTGTTAATTAAAATGTAGAATGTTGTAAAATGTTTAGAAGTTTTCAGTTTGTTAAGGCACATACGTGAGCAAACTTATTTTGGACTAATTTATTTATTATTTTATTTATTACTTGTTTTTAAAAAAGTTGTGGAAGTGCACTACATTGTTGGTCTTGTTTGCCTTTATCTGTTTTATTTGTCTTAATCTGTTTTTCACTGTTCTGTTCAATAAATGCAACATATTTCCAAAGTCAATGAGTAATCGTGTAAAATAATCGTGATTTCAATCATGACCAAAAATAATCGTGATTATGATTTTTTCCATAATCGAGCAGCCCTACTTATCGCTACAATATATCTCAGGGCTTCATTCAGTAACAGCCATAACAATGAGCAAAATGAGCGAATAGGGACAAGTGCAACACCAAAAAGAGATACTAAAACATTCACTCATAGGGCAGCCTTCTGTCACCAAAATCACTGGTCTTCTGTTGGTTATACCACAACACTTAGTTTGGAAAAATGTCTAACCACGAAGCTACTGAATGTTTTTGTAGCACTAGTAAAGAGGCATTGTTTGGGTTTTAACGTTTCACTTATGATTTATTGATCCAGGAAATTTTGATCAGTGAGTATTTCATCATAGGTCTGGCTTTATGCTACTTATTTTAAATTTAAAAAAATTCAGGCAAGAAATCAGCTATTTAGATTTAGGATATCTGGTCACTTGGTAATGAGCTGTGAGCACCAGTGGACCAAGCTGTCTCCAGCATGATTTCTTTGCTCTTCATCACTGGGCCCAGACTGCATTTAAATTTCCTGCAGGCTCTAATATTCAAATACCAAGATTGAAAACCGATTACCTACCCAAATGCATATCTGAATCATCACATTACTGGGTCCAGCCCTACAGTACATGCATCAGATTATGTGTGAATAATCCTAATTTCTGTTAATTCATGTACCCACTAAAGATGGTTCTTCATCTTAGTCAGTCCAGAAGCAGGTTCTCCTTCAAAAATAAGAGGGGTTTTCTAAATTGACATACAAATACTTAAATATACAGTACACACAACATGTTCAAGCTGCTCTGTGGTTTCAGCAATAACAATAGAAGCTTTCAGACAAGTATGCTCAAGTCAGACTGGTCAGCACAGAGGTCCATTTGTCTGTAATGGACTGGAGTCACACCGTATAGCCTAGGGGTCAAAATCCTGACCTGCTCTCATTCAACATCATCATTTCTGTGTCAGCGGTGGAGCAGAGAAGTAGTGAGGGACTGGGGACTGCAATGCCATTTTTAACTAAGTATTGTCCAACCCCCTTAATGATGTAGAGGGAAGGGGGGATAGGATGAGTTGTTGTTTCAGTCACTGGTTTTATTTTTACTGGCAATGAGAACGTTCAACAAGACACACAGACATGCCTATCAACATTCCCCCACTGTATGTACGCATACGCATACACACACACACACACACACACACACACACACACAAATACACACTAATGAAAACAAGAAAAAGAGGGCTGGGTGTCTGGAATGAATTTTGGGAGCCAACTTCTTCATGAACTGGAGTAACCTCTGGCAGAACATGTTGCAATTCAAATCACATAAAAGCAGCCATGGGCCAGTTTCAGATATACAGTAGAAGAGCTGCTATCTTAAAGTAACAAACTGTGTTTCATCAGTGTATCCTCAGCATTATGTTCTTGAGGGTGTGATTAATGAAAAAAACAAATTCAATCGTATAAATTTGTGTTGGTTAGATGATCATGAAATGCTAAAGGCTGGACATAGCAGTGTATGCTACTCCTGGCTCATCCTCTAGTGGCCATCAGTCCTGCTTTTCTGAAGAGGGAACCAAGTGTAAAGTATGCAGCTGAGCTCTGGCTTCCATCCAGTGTGAAAAAAAACCCTTGATTAAGGTGATGAGACAAAAGGGTCGGTGAGTGTGGCTTGTCATGATGAAAGACCACCAAAATAATGCAGGGTAGTCCAGCAAAATGTTTAGGAAAATACAACATCGTCTGGCCAGTCACTTGGGTCGAAGTAGTGCTGGGCAATTAATCCAATATTGTTGTATACAGTCTGCAAATGATCATGAAAAACTAAGGTACCAAGTTAATAAGATTCTTATTACATAAAGTTTATGTGTTAAAAGACAGGTTTTTATGTCTGCCTTTAAAGCAAGGCTTCAGGGGGGTTCGGCAGGAATGTGGATTTATGATCGTATTTAAGAAGAACTTATACCAAATGGCCACTTTATTAGGCACACCTGTACAATTATATGCAATTCAGTACAATACTTTTACATCTGTGTTTATGAAGCTCAAAATGTTTCAGTTTTTGGTGAAATTGCCATAAATGTGTAAATTAAATTACATTTATTATTGAGGTCATAGTTAAAGGTGGAGTTGTACTGGACTACATTATATTCAGAGGTTGTCCTCCCCAGCTACATACAAGAGAGGATCAGAATATTAACTGCGTTCCGGTTTCAGTTAACTCACTGGGCCTTGTTAGGCATTGGCAATATCAGTTTATAACAAAGCATTATGTGGTTTTTGTAAAAAAAAATGCTGTAGCAACATGTTCACAGATACAGTATGTTAGACAGTACTGTGTACGACTGTTATAATGAAAGATAAATAAGACCTAAGGGCTAATAAAGAACATATTACTACAGTTTTTACTACTGATGTGTGGAGCAGCCATTTTGGATTTTGAGGTCGGGGTTGGTGAAGTTTGTCTGACTTTCCAAGTCAGAAATCCAGCTTTAAGGGGTGTTCCAGTTGAAAATTCTAACTAGGAACTTGGAAAATTGGACTTCCCAGTTCAAACAGCACACACCATAAAATGGGACAGACAAAATAACAGAAACACTTGTCAATATAAAGCAACCCACAGTCACATGCTACAGCCTCCACACTTAAAAATGCCCTTATATCTGCTAATAGCTACACTACAGCGTACCAGCAACCATTTATTAGCCTGTTTCTATGCTGTATAAAGTATAGTGTTAGAGTGTTAGGATCATGGAAAAAAATGAAGCATATCCAAAAGTTAAGCTCATGAACTCACATATTCCTTGACATTTTTGGTCTTGACAGCTTTGTAAGAGTAGTATGCAGGATACAGGGTCCCAAACACCAGCCTGCATTGAAAGAGAACACACAACATTAAATAATCACCCCTTTAATAATAGTTTTAACACTTTCAAACCTTTTGTTGTTAGCACTGTGAAAAACTAATACTCCTGGCTGGATGTGATAGGCAGGGTGTTCTTATTTTTGATGCAATGCATTTGTTTGTCACTCCACATTAGGCTAAATATTATCTGGATGTATTAATAAAAATAATCATACTCTGACTAGCCATTTGAAAATAGGCCTCAATGTGATGGATCTATGTTACAGCTCTATTTACCTTACTATCTGTGTATCTTTACATTTAAAACTAAATATATGAGATCTTTTGAAAATGTGTTGTAGGTTGGCAAATACAAGGCTAAAAACTCAAATACAAATGTTCTGTTAATATGAAAGTACAGTTAAACATCTAGAGAAAGTCTGATTTCTACAGTCAGTTCCCCCTCAACTATGAAGAGGATTTTACACTCAAACCAAAATGGCTCTCTATTATAATTTTAAGTGCAAACTCAGGTTTACACACAAAACTCTACAAAAATCACTTAAATACATCATCTGTTCCTACAGAATAATCTGAGGACTTCTTTCTGTGCTGCTATGATTGGGTGTTACGTGCTGACACACAGTGGAACACAAGGCAATCACTCAGTGTTTCCTCTGTAATTTTCTGCAGTAGCACCAGCTGGTGGTAATGTGTATTTGGTTCCACGTGATCCAATACAGGTTTCAACATTTCCTTAATGCACTGCACTCTTATTTTGTTCTTTTGCACTTACACATGATTTGCTATGTGCAAATAAATTAAATGTTTGAATTTTAGGGTCTTTAGACTGTAGTATTTCTGCATATTTTCATTTCAGTGGATTGTGCTCTTTTGTCTGCTCAGCCCTGCTAACAGTATAATCCCTCTTATTGTTAGGAATAGAATGGAAACATACACTTAGGTGTACCTTCTAAACCACAAACTAAGTCAAACTAATGCAGTCTAATCCAGTGCTCCTGCAATAAAGCCCAGCTTGTTGTACCTAAGAAAATGGCAACTGACTGTATGTCAGGTAACACAGAAATGAAAAATATATTGTAAAATGTGTCCAAACAGTTATATATGTCCATGGAGGACCTGTACACCTCATGGGTCAAAAAGAGGAAGGAGAGGTTCACTGCTGACCCCTCACACCCTGGACACAATCTGTTTGAACTCCTCCCCTCTGGACGGCGTTACAGGTCACTGTGCACTAAGACAACCAGGCACAGGGACAGTTTCTTCCCCTAGGCTGTCGCTCTGATGAACACTTGACAGTATGACTGGACAATAACCCTCGGTGCAATACCTTTAAATATACATTGTACACATTATACCGATCCATACAGGTCTCTATTTTTAAATGCTCTACTTTTACTCCTATTTATCTCATTTCACAATGAGCATTCCTTTCTCTGTCTGCACTGTTTATTGCTTGTTAATACTGCTTATTTTGTTATACACAGCCTTATGTTGGTTTACTGTTTACTTGCCCCTTGCATGGGGATACGTACATGCACATTGAGAGCCGATGTACCAGAGTCAAATTCCTCGTGTGTTCGACACAACTGGCCAATAAAGCTGATTGTGATTCAGATTCTGATATACGTATATTATGGATGTGTAATGGGACGATGATGAGTCACCATCGTGATGTAAATCCTCCCCATAGGAGTGCCAGTGCCACCTACAGTCCTGTTACCAAAGCTCAGTGTTGAAATCGTTCAGGTAGCTGCTTCTGTTGATCGTTGCCGTTTCTGATTAAAATGACAACCAGCAGGGTCATACTGTACCAGCTGTTGCTGTCAGTTTAAGTCTGTGACTTAAAGTGCTAACAGGACAAAATGAAACTCGCTGTTGTCTGGTTTGTGGCCTCACTGCAGCCGGTGGACAAACAGGCAGCGCTGTCTGCTGTTAGCCGAACATCGTTATATGAGGTGAGGAGGCATCACTCTGTAACACCAGTGAATAATCAGAGTGAACTGAGCGCTTCTCTGTAGTTCCAACAACTCTAACAGAGTGAGATGTCTTCACTGGTAAAACTGTCAGCTGATTTAACATCAATGAAGGAAATGTAGCATATTGTACGGGATGGTGTACATGCAAATGGTTATGAGCATTCATCGTAGTCGTCTTTTACGTCATATCTACAAATCCTGCACCTTTGTTACCGTTTTGTTGTTTTAAAGTACTGCCAGGTGGGCAAAGGGGTACTTTTAGTTGACTCCTCCCATAACAGAATATACAGTGTGCAGTTAAGAGCAATTGTTATTGCCATCTCGTGAAGCAATAATTCCCCAAATCTCGATACAATGTTTACAGAGTCGCAATGAAAACATGGTGTGGATTCCATTTGGCTCTGCCAGCATGCCGCTTGTTCCGTAATGTAGTTAAAATAAACGGTGACCACAACCATCCTGCACAAACGGGACTGTGCCAGTCGGGTTTTGGAACACACCCTGAGAGACAACGGAGTGAATGAGGTGTGTTAAAGTAAGTGGCTAGTGGGGGAGTGGAAGAACTTCAAAAGCCCCCCCACATCAGTTAAGTCACATGTATGGGAGCATTTTAGCTCTCCTGTAAAACATGAGGACAGAAAAAGTAGGGATGTAGCGAGATCTCATGCCACGAGATCTCACATTATAACATGATATTTCTGGTCAAGGCAAACGCTGTCTTGCAATATCAGTGCATAGTGTAACAGAAGCAGAGCAGCAGCCAGAGTGTTATACTTGCCCCCCCCCCCTTTTTTTTTTCTGATCCAAACATTATTCGATACGTGACCCCTAATCCGTGATACATCCAAAGCGTGAGTTCTGTGATTCATCCCACCCCTAATAGAAAGTGAATAGGTGTACCGCTAAAAGGACATGGAATCCTTCAACTGCAACTAAACACACACAGACACACTCCATCTGACCAGAGTCCCCTCAGAAGCACGCAGGACATCAACAAGTAGTGATGGTAGGCTGAACACCAAAGCATGTGTCAAGTACTAAGGGCAGTGGAAAGTGAACCTTTATATCAAGGCTTGGTTTATTTAGAAAATGTCATCACTAATGATGTTTGAAGCGTTATCTGGGTCACCAGTTCAGGAAATACTTCAAAGGTGGTGTGTCTGAGATATAAGGGGAGAGGACAGCAATCGGAAAGTTTGTGGGTTTGTAGTGTTGCAGATCACTGCAATGCAATTGTTTGCATAATTTCACTAGGGCATCAGCACCAAAAGTCAGTAGTTATTTCCACAATGGGAACATTTTGATTTAATTTCTAACAAATCATGCATACTGTATGTGTTATCATTTGTTGTAATGCTTTTTTCTCTTCAGAGCAGTTTATTTGTATAAAGGCAGAGTACAGTATTGTGGAACCACCAGCACTAAAAATGATAGTCTGTAAACCAATCCCTTTCCTCCTTTACACTGGTATGTTTGCATGTATGTTTGTAGTGGAGAAACTGGTTCCACAGCCCAGACCTTCTGCTGTCCAGGCACACAGGAACAGCAGCCTGTGGTAATTAAATCGTCGTCATAGAAACACAGATATGAGGACAGTTTTTCTGGATGTCTGCATGATATTAGAGTTGTGCAGCAGAGTAGAACAACTACACTCAAGTCTTTTGTCCCAAACATTGTAAATTTAAGGCCTTGTGTCTGGCATCTTAGGCATGCTAATCAAAGTCGACTGTCGATGCTGTGATAATAGCAGATATTTGTGTCTCAATTGCTTCTAATTTGCTTTGATTGCAGGGAAAGTCTCATCACAGAGCTCTGGTAAACACCACTGGGCAGATAGTGTGAAGGAAATAAAGACAGTAATAAACAATCAACAATAATAATGTGAATGAGCTCCCATATCACCCTCATTCACCCCCACATAAATTATGGAGCCTCACACTTTGCTAGTTTAATTAGATTGATGCAAGATGCTTTTTTAAAGCTAAAAGTGACTGAGTGCCGTCACCTCATCTTAGTGTAACCCCCCCTGTCAGTGAACACTGTCCCTCCCCTGGGGTTTGTCATGCAGGAAAACGGGGGATGGGTCTAGGTGGTTCATCTGGGAGAGCCATTTCATATGATGCAGTTGTTTTAGCAGTTGCAGAGATACAATTATTTGGTTCACATAAATGTATTAAATCAAAGGCTCTTCCTAACCAACCTCCCATGTCAGCGGGGCTGAAATGTCAACTTTTAGATCACCAGTACTGACTACCTTAAAGGTGTGGTATGTGAGATCAGTGTCATCTAACAGTGAGGATGCAGATTGCAACATTCAGCAAAGCTCTCGTACATCGTGTCACAGCCATTTCACAGCGATTACCGTAAATGTAGGACTTGGAAAACAAGCGCAGCTGACTTGACCAAGCAAAACCTAACAGCGGCTCACTTGACCACAGTGTAATATTAAAGAAGTCTGAATACACACATTAAGATGTGCAATAATACCATTGTATTGATTAGCCCTATTAGTAAAGACTTCGCCAGGACTTTAAATGTCCAACTTGGCTGCTCCAAGCACCCTTACCCTAATACCATGAAAAGAAGTGCGACAAAAGTCAAACGGCAGATGCTTGACCATGTCTTTGTAATCAACAGATCACTTGACCGCATTTAACAGCATCTTGTTTCTTGGTGTCTTTGTTTCTTTGATGATAAGGATTCATGCCATCTTCCTTTTTCTAGTGTTAAAGTACAACTATGATCCCCATTTATTCAAATTATACAGTAGTTAAACTTGTGACATTGCTTCCTCTTGTTTCTAAAGATACTTGTTTTTGTCCTCCAACCATCTCCAAATTCAAGCTGCTACTTCCATGTGAAAACACAAAATTCATACCAGTGTGAGGTTTGTCCATTCTGGGCTCCTGTAAAATGAAATGGCAGCCTCCATTATGGGGGACCCGCTTCTGTGTAGATATAAAAGGCACATTCTAAGCTAAAGAAAACACAATGATTCTTATTTTTTTTCTACAGGCGGTGGGGCGAACCCATCTCTGCAAAAATACTACTGCTCGTGGTGGCATTTGAGGGTCAACACTGTCTCCCTGTCAGTACTGCACCTTTTATACAAAATGGCATGGTGGAAAACTCCCACCTTGAATGAGCAGTGTAAGTCTTAAATGTAAAGTGTCTTTCTTTCAGACTCACCTAAGACCAGCAGAGCAGACAGAGCTCCTTCTTGATACTAAAATGCTCCATTTTTCGTATTTCCTCTCTCTCCCTCCTCATTCTCCTTCTTCCCATTTCAACACATTCTCTGCATACAGCTGAGAAAACAGCCCTGTTGCTTTTAAATGGGCCTTGACTCTGTGCTGCAGTCAGTTTCCCTGGTTTCCTGACACTTTACATCAACAACAACCAGATGGATGGAGGGGGAAGATGGGATGAGGAGAGAAACCAATCAATCGTCTAATCCAATGCCTTGGCGACCCACCTGGGAAGCCCATAAGAAACACGATGAGCCATATACATAGGTGCAGTTAAGACCACTTCACACTGAGCACATTTATAGCGTGCATCTCACACAGCAGATAGAACTCCATCCTATTAAATCAACTCCAACCTGCACGTCACCTTTGGACCTCCTGGATTTTTGTTTTTGTTTATACTTCAAGCCTATTTTAATTACTCTGGCACATTCAGTGAAGAATAACTTCCACAGACAGCTGTTTTAAAGAAAAAAATAAATAAATCATACAAATCAAAGCAGATATTTCAGACAACTTCACCCACCGCCAGGGGAAAAACAAACTGGAAAGGCAAAAAGTCCAGCAACACCTGCGGTGTATAGAGCAAATTTAATGTTTCAACCTGGGCATTTCAGCTTGTAGCCATCGTCAGGGTCTGTATATCACACATCCCCAGTTATTTTCTGTTGCAAACTATTTTGTGGTATCTGTTAAGATTGATCAGTCTCCTAAAGTCACAGCTTTTTGGTTTCCTTTCCCCTCGCCCTCTACAGTGTGCCAGGGAAGATCCATGAAATTAATAAAGCCATCCATAAAAAGTGTGGTAGTGAAAAGGAGCTGCTGACAGCTGTTGGGACATCAGAGAAGCTGAACATCACATCTCACTTTCAGTTTACATTGTTGAGTGAAGCATTGGAAATGGGAAAAAACTATAAAGATCACTAGCCTATATTAAGCCATACAGTTTACATCTGTAGCCTAGCTGACCTCCAATAAGTCCAACATTTGAGCTCCCACCATCTGCTTGCAAAATTTTGACTACGTGACTTTTCCCCTAAAACACAGAGGTAGGATTGTTGAGAGAACTGTTGCTACAGCAAATGGGACTGGCTCCAGTCCAGGTCTGTACTTCCCCCAGAGTATTTCCTGAAATGACATACATAATCAAGTCTGGTCTCACAGCTCTCTGAATCTTCCCACATTTGAAAACTGAATCAACATGCCATTCAGAAGTTCAAACTGTGCCACTATACTCTGGCTTAAACAGAGAAACAAAGATTTTTGTAATGGATAATTTATCAGCTTAATATGCAGTGGTTGAAAGTAACTGAGTATTTTACTCAAGTACAATTTTGAGGTATCTGTATTTTCATTTTCTGTTACATCATACTTTGACTTCACTACATTTTAGAGGAAAAATATTGTGCTTTTTACTCCACTACATTTATTTTATAACTTTAGTTACTTTTCATAACCAGAATAATACAAAAATTATCACTGATCTATGGGAGAAAATTCACAAGCTCCCCACCAGTAATTCAAGTTAAATGCATAGAAATTAGCTCCCCCTTTGCTAGCTGCAACATTAAATGTAAAATACACTATAATGAATCAGTATTTATAATACATATGATATACAGAATGTGAAATGTGCCATTCAGCATGAGTACTTTTATTTGTAGTACTTCAAATATACTTTGATGCTAATACTTTATACTTTTACTTAAGTAAAGCTCTACCTCTTCCACCGCTGTTAATATGGATGTTTGATTGTCTGCTTGTGTTTCTTGACCCTTCTGACTTCTTTTGATGTCAGTAATTAAAGTTGCATTAAATAAAATTTTAATTTAGATAAATCAAGTAAATAATTGTCTAGAAGTGTTTTCTTCCTGCATTGCTAAACCCCCACCCCACTCTGCTGCTATCTTCAGGCCTTGTGTTTGTTAAATTTTACAGCATCAACACAACTGGAAAAGTGGGGAGTTTATTCAACTATCAAAAACATAACATGAAATTTCGCTTGTTTCACATACAACTCACAGTTACCTTTTAACATTATATGTGTCAAGTATGTAACACTGAACACAATGCGAGTGTGGGGAACATTAGTACTGTAACAATACTCCTGGGAAGAAACATTCCTCTGTATAATTTGGTTGTGTTATTACAGATATATCTGCTACAAGACAACATTAAACATATGTATGTATCTCTAAAATGTAAGCCTCTTTATTTAACTGCTGCTGCAATGCCACCAAAAATCTCTATATTCCTTATACATTAGTCCCAGAGCCGGTTATTACTGCTGGGCTACCTGAACTGCCACATCAGTCTCGGGCTGTCATGACTACATATGGCATAGTTTGAGACAGGGAGGGAGGGGCAAAGAGGAGTGGAGGGAGAAGAGAGGAGTGGATACTGCTTGAGTTTGTTTGACTCTCACTTTGCCCTTAACAGTCAAAAATTAGAGAGAGGTTAGTTAATGCAGCTTTAACTTGATGACTACAATGTTATTTCTGATACAGTACTAACGAAGGCCCAAACAACAATAACAAGACTCAAATTTGGATTACTCTGTCTTAATGCTTTACTTTTTCAACTCTGTCAAAGCCTATCATCAGATGTCTTTTACCAAACATATGCTTCCCTATTCTATTTGAGTGTTTCTATGTGATAATAGTTTAACAAAATCAAATGTAGACATGAATACAGTTTCTGCTTCTCCCTAAAGCCTCTGGAAAACAGGTTTACAGAGGACAAACAGTCATGACCATTAAAGGAGGAGTCAGTGATACTGGAGAAATCCTGTTGCTATTTGAACTCAACAGCCAAACAAATACACCACTCCCATCAGTACTCCTTAAAAAAGCAATGGAATAGTGCTGTGTGGAGCAACTGGCAGCACTTGGTTTGCTTACAATTTACAGAACCAGGGTTGTGAACAAACACAAGATGTTTTTTCAGAAGATATTCACTGCACCTTTAAGCAAAGTTGAAGTTTTGGGGAAAAAACCTCAAGGCGTTATTTATTTTAGGATAAGGATAATCACCTTTATTGGCCAAAGTGAAAGCCAACACATCATTCATCTAAATTAATATGGAATGAGAGCTTATAGACTAAAACTAAACCACATTCTAGATCTGACATGGTTACATCCATTCATTGTGTAGCAAGCTATTGACAAGCAAGCTGTATTTGTTGAGACAAGTAGGGGGATTTAGAAAAGGCACCTGACATTATTTCCATCCATGATTTTTAAATCCACTGTTTAGATTTCAAAATGTCTTGTAAATGTGGCATGTTCTGCACATCAATTGCATTATGCATTTTGCATAACTTAGAAGCAAGGGCACTGCCATGTAATGAGATGAAGGACCCACAAGTATGAACATCTATGATGCCCACCTTCTTCCTGCATTTAGACCTAGGATTTGATTTGATTTGATTTGATTTATTTGATTTGACTGAACAGTGCTGATGCATAGGTTAGCTACAAAAAAAAAAATCATTTCACTATCCTTGAGGGTTTGTGTTTGAAAGTTGCATTAGGGAAAGGAGAGGTGCGTTCTGTATTTCTCAACCACTCCCTTCTGTCCTGTCCATCACATTCCTGTTCTCCATTACAATTATGTAACTACTGTTCCTGGATATATACAAACACAAAGACAGGAGGAGAGGGTGAAACAGAAAGAGAAACAAATCCACTGAATCCTTTCTTAAGGTGGCTGTCTTCCTATGTATCAGTGTTATGGCTCCTAGGTTAAACTGGGTAGGGCTGGCTAATATCTTCAAGATGACAGATGTACCTGACGAAAAACTTCCACCTTGCCAAAGTTTCACATCGTTACGTCTGACTCACCAGCAGCGTGCATGGTCATGAGCCATTAACAAGATGGTAGCATTCGCTTTAGACACAATGGCAAAACAGCAGTCACCAAGCTACATTAGCTGCTTTGTTAGCTAGGCCCACAACTTTAACAATTAGCTATATTACAAACATAGTACCGCGTTTTTATGGTAACCTAAATGAAGCCGCTTCTTTTTGACTAAGTTTCTAGAAATTTAACGGCAAAGGCCGTAACTTAGCCAAAGAACAGGAACGTGTTAGCCAGATAAGCTAACAAAGCTGAAGCCCATCAATTATCAAATTTTCCACACAAGGTTGAAAATTTAATTTTAGTTTACTTTAAATACTCTCACTTGACCTTATACTTACACAACGACTCTCGAAATTAACCAGGACACCATTTTGTCTTGAATGTGTAACGTTAGGGCTGTGTCAGAAGTAGAAGACAGCGCCGGTGTTAACGTTAATGGTTAGCCGTACTGTTGTAAACTTCTTCAGCCAAAAGTTCGATGAGAGAATCCAGCACCAGCTAGGTTGCCTATCACGCTGAAGACCGGCCAATCATGTCTTGAAAACGCCCGATCTCACCGTTTTCTCTTTACAGCCATAATTAAGCGATGAAATATATATCCAATATAATCCCCTTGTTTTGTTGCGGTCACTTATTCCCTCTAGATTTCCTCCTCCTCTACTCCACTCTGTGCAATTGTAATTCGTATGTCCTCGCACCGAGACGATACTCAAATCGCTCACACAGCTACTGACGTTAGAATTGACAGAGAAAAAAAAACCCTCCCGAGCATCCTTATTGGCCTGTTCACTTTGTTTACAATAGACACAAACTCTCATTGGCTGGCTCCGTGTGCCCACGTGACACTTGCATTTAATAAAAACGATGAAAATTCAAACTCAGCGATCTGCGCTCTGATTGGTCTTTCTTCGAATCGTGGCAAATTCTAGCCAACGAGTGAAAGAAGCAATGGGTGCGTTCGGTGGATTTTTCCTAGCACTGAAATGGAGGGTAACCTTTTTTTTTTTACTTTTTTATTGAACAATTGTATTTACAACAAATGTGGCAAACATTAGTATTCCATAACATTAATATAGAACAGGTACAATAATAAAGAACAGAACAAGAGAGGAAGGACAGAAAGTTAAAAATAAATACATAAATAAAATAAGGTTAAGTGAAAAGTCATGTTAAGAAATGAGGGCTTTGTATTAAATTATACTCTGTTAATTTAAAAAGTATTGTAGCATTTTTGGTTTTCAGTAGACTTAGGGCTTTGACAAAAACAAAAAACACATTGAGAAATATTTTCATATACTTAGCTTTATGTATATGAAATTTCCCAAAAATGATGCTGTTGTTGATCAGAAAGTCAGCATTGGCATTGTCCATCAGAAGTCCATAAATAATGTCTTTTTGGGTGAAGTCATTTAGGAAGTGAATCTTTGATTGGAGCCAAACAAAGACCTCATGCCAGATGTTCTTCACAAACGTACACTGGAAAAAAAGATGTTCTGCATTTTCATCTCCGTCACAAAATACACAATTATTGGATTCAATACCAAATCGATGTCTCAACAAAGCACTGGATGGATATATGCCATTCAAGGTTTTAAAATGAAGCTCCTTGGCTGTCGGAGCAACAGGGAAATGCAAATACTTTGTTTGTAACAAGCAAACAGTTTCCTTTGAAAAGAACTGTAAGATAGAATTTCTGTATTGAGAAGAAGGGCACGAGATATTGTTTAGGATATTTCTTAATTTTTTGTTTGGGTATTTGAGTTGATTGAAAGCACAGCCTCCAATTAAAAGCTGTGGGAGAGATGGGCTGAATGGAGTAGGGTTACCTAAATACCAAACACAAGAAGGAGGTAGGGATTGCTTTGATTATAGCATAGAATGAGTTACGATCATCAATTCTCCCATATCCGACACAAAAGCTTTCATATGATAAAAAGGAGCCATTTGTGTCAATAAGATGAAATACCGACCAAACGCCAATATATCTGTTATTTCAGATTGGGGTATTGTGGGGTGTGAAGTTATGATTATATAGGAGTTTCCAATATAGTAAGACTTGTTGATGAAAAAGTGATAATTTGACCAGGTGATTTGGGATATTAAAGTCACATTTAAGCAAAACCTCTACGCCTCCTAATTTTTTAAACACTTCTCTGGGAATGTGGTACCAGAGGCTATCGTTATTCAAAAAGGACTTTAACCAATTAAATTTTAAAGTTCCATTAATAAAATTAAAATCAGTGTTTGGTAAACCTCCATCTTTAAATTCTTTAGTCATGTCTGCTCTTTTAATGTAGTGGACTTTATTTTTCCATATATAGTCAAAGTTAATTGTATTAATCTTTTTAATAGCATCATTTGGAATGCTTAGCAAAAAGGCTGGATAGATGCACCTAGAGATGCTTTCCATTTTAGTCAGAAAAATCCTTCCCATTAAGCTGATGTCTCTCATTAACCATAGGTTGAGTCTAGAATGACATTCATTGATAGTCGTCCATATGTTTTTCTTATTACATACAGCTGAGTCTCTAGAGATGTGTATACCCAAGTATTTGAGCCGTAGGAATACATAGGAAGAGCTGTTGACCTGGAAACAAAAATATCTCTTTCTGAATGTTTTGCCTCAACCTGCTGGGCTGGATATAGCAATACAACCACAATTACATACACTAAATGACAGAAAGGTATAGACAATATACGCGTGTCCATACTACACGAAGACCTACTTGTCTTTCTAGTCAGCCTTTTACTTCCAACTAAGGAAAATGTTCATCCTACATCATACAATGATATGTTGGACAACTGTGTGCTTGCAACTTTGTGGCAACAGTTTTGACAATCCTTTTGCTCTCCTGCAATAAGACATGCTTTGAGATGAACTTTTCCCCCTCAGATACACTGTGGCCTCACTCCTCCTTGACTACTTAGTGAGAATTTTCTCAGTGACTTCCGGTGGTATCTATCTATCCAGAAAGTTGGTGCTTTTTGTAATAGGTTAACCTTAAAACTTCATCACCCCTTTTCTGATGAGGATATTTCTTATCTTATTGGAAACATTATGAAATGTAAAATACATTTTATATGGAAATATTATTGGTGGTTTCTTCATTTGTCTACCCTGGTTGCCTCTCTCCTGATTGTAATTTTCTTCTGCTGTATTAGCCTAGTTCTTTTTGCCTTATTCCTGATCACTATCATTATCCCATTTCTGGTTTGATTCTACGGTTTAGATTATGTTCAGGACATTTCTTTTTCTTTTATTTCATTAGATTTGAAAATAATAATTGGTGGTGAGACAGTCATGAAGTGGATTTTGGCTTTTCAATTTAGGAAGCCAAATGCAGTAGTGTTGTCTCAGGAGTTGAGGAAGAAGATCAAGATGGGTGTTCGAACCTGTCCATAATGATAAGTGGTTCTATTTTGCATAGGCTTTGCCCTCTAAGAGCTGTCACTATTGGGTTTATCCTTCACGCATGCACAGTCCTGAAGAGATTTCTTTCATGCCCTGTGCTTTGCACTGGGCTGTTTAAAGCCACTGTGGTGGCATAAAAGCCTATGTGACCTGAGATCAGATACTTCTTTTTCTTCAGCAGTTCTAAAGAGAAGTTCCTAAAGGGCAATGTCTAAAAAGCAAAGTTCCAAAAAGAATGAATGCTGGACTCCAGCATCGCGCCACCATCACCGTTTGTCCAAGCTGCGATACAGGCTTCATCCTGCCCAGTAACTCACACTGCTGTGAGGCCCGCCTAGGTATGGTGCACACCAAGCTGGCAATCTCTCCCTAACCCTAACCCTTTGTGCTAGCTTGCCCATGGCAGAGAAGCAGCATCTGATACATTTGCGGGCACCAGGGAATGTAACCCTGATGGCAGCTGGGCAAACCAAGATGATGATCTCTTGGTAGACAATCCCGCTGCAATCTGCCAGACATAATTGAAAATGCGGCAGATCACAAGGGAAATCTCTCCCTGCTGGAAGCTTTGCTCGGGTTGCTCACCTCCCCCTGGCCCTTTCACCACCGCCATCCTATGGGTTGTGAGTAGTGAACACTCAGTTTTCACAGTTGCAAAGAGGGCGCTTCAATAGCTGGTGACAATGTCCACAGACCTAATGGACATTAGGTCCACTTTTGGGAGTGGGCAGACAGTGGCCTGTGGTACATTTAGTGACACCACAGTGGGATCTGCCCCTGGTTTTACGCACACTTGGAGTACCCCCATTCAAACTGTTGTACCCAGTACTTTTTACCATGCTAACTCTGAGAGACGAAGCAGTCCAAATAACTTCAAAACAGTGCTAATTTATTCAATGAACACAGGTAAAAATTAACATTACATGCTCAGGTATCTTGCACCTCCAACATGCATGCAGGCAGCTGAAACATGAAAGACCCTGAACCACAACAGGCCTATACATTATATCACTTCGGGCTAACCCCATTCTACACAGGAGACGCCAAACCGTGATGTCTCCCAGGGCCAGCTTTGCAGCTGCCCAGAGCAGTAGTCAAAGCATGAGGAAAATCAATGTGTGAATGTCTGTTGATTATGTGGTGTGTAGCTAAAACATTCTAACACGACCTCTAGTGACATGTCATGACATTAAACATAAGAAAATGTTATGGCTATGGCTACAGTTATACACGTCATAATAATAATATTAAACATCCTGTCTTCTAACAGTCATCAACTTTCTATCTAGTTATCCTTGACCATAAGCAAACTGCAGCACTCATAAGAATGCCTACGCTAGACACCCTGTCTACTCTAAACATTCCTAATACATAAAGTATCTAACCAATATCTATCTGACTAAAAATACCTAACACCTGGAAACCCGGTATTCGAATCGCGTTGTCCGCGATCGAGTTGCTGAGCCGTGAAGCACAAAGCAGCAGAGCGTGCAAAGTCAGAGTTAGTCCTGTTGACGAGAAGAATTTCATCCATTTTGTTGACCAGGGAGCGGAGATTAGCCAGGTGAATAGAGTGTTTTCCATGCCGGATCCTTTTCCAGGTCCCGTATATTGCTGCTGCGCCTCCGATGAGAATGTCCATACAGCATTCATCGTTCACAAAAATCGGAAGAAGTTAGTTTGGTGTGAGTTGTCCAATATTTAACAGTTCTAAGTGTAATCACTTGAAATAGTGATTGTTCATAACACAATTGATAAGCAAGCTGAGTAGTTCTACTAAACTCATTAGTCACAAAGACTGTCATTAAACAAGTTACATTGATATAGGAAAAATGGTTTTCAGTGTGTTCTATGGACAACCGTACCACATATTGGTCAATTTGGTAGGCTAGGACCATGATGAGTACCTTACTCTCAGGGAAGATGCAGATTCTCACTGTGGTGGATGGAGCAGTTGGATGTCATCGTGCACAAAGACAACTTCTGCAGACATATGGCATGGAAATGGAGATACATGCTATACTGTGGACTATAACCAGTTTTGCATCTTTTGGATTAATGAACACTGACTCCTGCTTGGTCTTATTCTACTGGGATGTTATGCATAAGTACCAGATGTGGCTTGTTAAATGTGCCTTAATGCAGTAGTCATACAATGTCGAGTTGACATTATATTTTGAGGGGGAGAGTATGGGAAAAGTAGATGTCCATGATGAGGATTTTTTTTTGGACACCACCCCATAATATTTTATTTTGTTTGCTTCCTATATTTAGTTTGGTGTTAGTCTAAAAATAACGAAAGTCAGTGTCGTGGCAA